CAGATATGGTTACATGTAAAATGTAAACATTTAAAGGTTAAACTTTGATCAAATAAGATTTGGGTTTAATGAAAACCTCATGATATTAAATGCACTGGAAAATACAAAGATTTTCAATTCTTGTGAGACTTTATAATGCATTTTACTTGCACTTTAACTTCAGTCATTACAATCAATCCATCTTTATTTCACTCTAAACACTGTTGATCGATATATTAACCATTGGAAACATTAAATTGTTATAACAACATTAAACAAAACAAAACAAACCAAAAATATAACCAAACTTGGTCCTTAAGTCTTGTAACATTATTTAACTCTTAGATTGGCACAGTGAAAACCTCTGTGTAGATCCAATTTGTTCAATTTAGACAGAAATACTTGTTCAGCTAAATGTTTCAATTCAATTAGCAGATTGACTAAATGCTCTATTTTATTTAAAAAAATATCGATCCTTTAAAATCAAAATACAATTGAAATCTAAAGATTTTGCTGGAAACTTTGAGCAAATTCAAGAAATACTAAAAACTGAAATTTACTAAACGGTTTTGATCAACTGATGAGATAATCTTTCATTGGAAATGTAGTTTAATGTTAAATTCAGCTGAAGAAAGATTTGAAATACATTTTATATCAACGTTTGGTCGTTTTTATTCAACAACTTGACATCATTGGAAGGTTGATTTAATGAATGGGTTCAAATTCATATCGAAATTTTGTGAATCTTCAACTCAGGGCACTTCTAGCTCATGTTTTGACTTCGGTCAACTTTGGGTTACTGAGGGTTTCCAATCGATAAATTTGGTGAAATTACTGACCATCAAATGTTGCCATCTTTTTATTTATTGTGGTTTATTCATTCATTTGAACAGCTTTTTTGCTCAGCCTTTTATTATTGCTTGTATTTTCACCGTGAAATCATTATTTTTTGGGGCTCATCATTGGTATCATTGTGCTTGTAACATTTTAACTTAATGTTAAAGGTAAATGATGAGGAGAAAATGGGATTTTTTATCTTCTTTGCTCGGATAAATACATCTTTTAGGCTGTCCAATAATTGAATTCAAACATTAAGGCTTAACAATTGGCTTCACATTGAACCAGAATTGAGTTGAAGTGATTTCTTTGCTTCCTTAATTTGATTATTATTGAATTGACTTTATGTGTTTACTTGTTATGTGTACACGTTAAATTAGATTTGCTTAAACACTTTCATAATTCAATCAACAAGATGGTGGCATTGGTTGATAACAGATGGCACTGCAAACATCTAAACATAAACCGTTTTTTATTTCATTTTGATCAAGTTTGAAGTTTTTAAAGCAATATTTACTTTTATTTCAAACGCTTTAATTACCTTTGTTTCTTAATTATTATTTCTGTGTCCAACTTGACCTGTTGGTTTTAAGTGTTTTTATGATTTGTTATGACATTCGTTTGATCATGTTTGATTGTAATTGTTTTTAAGCCTTTCATGTTCATTGGAAACTCAAAACTCACAGTCAATGTTCAGTGCAAATTAATTGTTTAAACCTTGGTGTTTATAGACGTGTATTAATATTATAAGATCATGACAAAGAAGATACTGAACCATCTTTTTAAAATCCAATGTCACTTGAAGTTGGCATGAATTTATTTCTCGGAAATTGAAAGTTGAATCAATTTACTTCATCCAAAAAGGATCACAACCTGTACAGTTGTACCTTCACAAGACTTTGAAGATTTGAGTTTCTATTATTTATACATTTTACATCGACTTGATTGAAAAAATCTTTCAAACACCTGTTTCCATCAGCCATATTCACTGAAAATATTGAATTTTAAGGTAAAGCTAAATTGTGCATGAGTTTAAATTGACTACAATTGTCTTTTCACCCAAATGATCAGCTTTTCACTTTTAAAATCAATTTGTAAAGTGAAGCAAAAAGGATCAACTTTGAATGTCTTTATGGCAAGTGTTATAATGTGATTATGGATTAGTTGAACACTAAATCTGATGAAAAATTGTCCAACCAATTCAAACTGGTGATGGAGACAATCTAATTGTTTTAGATGACCATCAAGATTTGACTTGAAAATTAATTGTCTCAAAATGGGAAAGTTAAACGTAATTAAAAATGCCTACCGCAATTGACAGTCAGTTAATGTTAATAATTGCTCTCACGAGGATGAATAAATTTCAACTCAATTACCATTAAAGCATCATAATGAAATGAATACTTTTCAAAGGTTCACTTCAATAGTAATTCCTATGTTAACCATGTTAGTTAAAAGGCCATTAAAAAAGGTCTCAATAAACATTAACACGTACTCAATGTTGAAACTGTAATCATCTATTATTTAATGGTTAATCTAACAAATGATGGCTGTTATTATGATGATTTAGTTATTGTTTAAAAACACATAAATAAGTTATTTAAGATGAAATAAAGACAACTTAGGATGCCCATTAAACAGCTTAACTTCAATGCAACTCTAACAGTAAGCTTCTTGCTTAAGAAGTAAAGATTTCCGATGAACAGAGTTAACATGATAAATCCAACTGAATATTGATGAAAGACAAAATTAAAGACTAAATCATTACATGAAACACCTTACAAAGCATTTTCGTTTTTGCAAGTTCATCATCTGATGAAAAGTATACCTTTCAATCAACATTGAAAAACTGGTTAACAAAAAATCTCTCACAATACTTTTTGATTATAATTTCAACAAATTTCAACCTTTTAAACTCAAATTCAGATTCTGAAGAAAGACAAAATCTTAAGGTTAAGCAAGGTTATTCAGACATTTGAGTTTCATTTTCAGAAAATGAATAAATGTGAAAATCTCAAGACACTTTTTGCCATCTAATGAAATTCCCATTTCAATTTCAATTCTAATTTTGAATATTTTTAATCTTTCAAATGGCAAACAAAGAAGCCTGAAATTTTGAGAAAACAATTTAATTCTTGTGCTTCAAGACATTTGTATCAATTGAATTCACAAACGTTTTTCCTTCATTGATGTTTGACTTTCTCTCCATCTTCACCCTTGTTCATCATCTTACCTCTCAATATGAAAAAACCCATTTTGGGTTTAAAGTGAAAAAATCAACTGCGAAGCCCGATCACTAAAAAAAGAGGTTTCCTCTTGTTCATCATCTTCATCCTTTCCTCTTTCCCTTCAACTTCAGGATGAAATTGTGACTTTACCCATTTTTAACCAGGCAAAAGGTTGGTTACAGTCTTGCGCTGAAAATTGGTACCAACGATCGATATTAATGCATGGATAACAAATCCCTTTCATCTTTGTTCATCCTCATCATTCCCTGTTTTCATCCTCTTTTTTTGCTATCTCACTCCTTCTTTTGACTCCCAATCAACCTCACAGCTGAAAGAATCTCTCATCTTCTTTAACATCATTTGCCTGTTAAAATACAAACCCAATTCACTGATATTTTCATCCAACGAAAACACTTCACTTTCAAGTTTCATTTGTTTTTACTGTTCATCTTCATTTTTAACACAATCTTTCCTCTCTATTTCATTCCATAATTGTTGTTATCATTAACAATGAAATCATAATCATCATGTAATTGTCAGTTTAATGTTTACAATGATAATTGAGTTCATCTGAAGTATCCTCATGTAAAAATGTTATTGTTTTGTTCACTGTGTAAAGACTTTTTCACTTCATCAACATTCAGGTCAAACTTCAATTCATCTGGTTCATCATTAAATCTACCCTTAAATTTACCATTAAATTTGCCACAAAACTCAACAGATTTACTTTGATTCACAAAATGAAACTGAAACTGTTAAATTCATCATTTCAGTTGCATTTGCTTGCAGTCCGTCAATCTCTTTATAAGCACAATCAACGCACAATCAAATCCTTTTTATACCTTCGCCATCAGTTATATTAGTATTTTCATTTGTTTTTTATGTGTTCATCCAGAATTGATCAAAACTCATAACGATGACCAACGAATCATGTTAACTCTCGTTTTTTTAGCAGTTTATTTGTATTCATTTGTGCGTCTTCAACCTTTATCGATGCAAAAATACGAGGAAATCAATAATAGTAATGATTATAATCAAAGTGTCCAATGAATGGAAACAAATGTATAAATGAATTACAATCGATGAACTGATCAACACAATAAGCAAAACATAAAAACGTCTTTCATTCATCAATCATCAATTCTTGAAATTATTGTTGTTCCCATGTTTTATTCAATTATAATCAATATCAAGTAGCAAGTTGAAATAGAGAGCAACATTTATCATGTTTACTTATGGATTGGCTCAGGTTGAAAGTCAAAGTAAGCAAATTGAATGTTAATTATTCAATCAACGTTATCGTCCAATCTCGGATTATTCAGTTGAAACAAACAATATTCAAATTTTGTCGACATCTTTTTGCTTTATATTTTTGTATCATTTTTGTTTTCCTTTCATTGTTCAATTGTGATTGGAATCAGGCAAGGATGAGAACAATTTGTTACCATTTTGTACATTCATCTTGATTAATCACTGTTTCATGTATTATTTAATAAATTGATCCTGACTCGACTTTCATTGAATATAAAGCAACCATTGATTTTCACCATTCAATGAAGATTACAACGATTCAGTGGGTTTGATCAATTTGTATGAAATTGTTGAGAAGCGTAATTATAGTTGAAATTGTATCAATAAAAATGGTACAGAAAAAGTGTAAACTTGACATTTCCAGGGTTTCATTCAGATTTGTATTACAAAATTATTTTAAATGTTGAAATCAATCTCTCAAATTGTCCTTTCATTGATAAATGAAATAGACAATTTGATTAATTATTCAACTCTCCATTTGTACAATATATCATGAGTGATTCTTAGGCCATTCAAATGTTGCCTTTCATCTCAATCATTGTACAATTGGTAATTGTGTTTGTGTTTTTCATCTGATGATCACTTCAAGGACTTGATTTATCATTAATTTCAATTAATTGATTGGTTCTCTTTGCTCATTTCTAGGTGATCACAATTCAACCACGGAAGATGAAGGAACAGACAATCCCAATAAATGCTCAAATCGAGCTCAAAAATGGAGCCGAGGAATAATATTAACGTTAATCATATCATTTTCATGGGTTGGAGCCTTCCATCTGTTTAGGTTTTGCTATGAGAAGGGTCAAATTAACACCCACCTAATCCATAATTATAACACTAATAATTTAAATAACAATAACCACGATAACGCTGTTAATTATCATCATTTCAATGATACTGCAACAACCATTCCTTCCAATGAAAGTGAGGTAAATATGCATTCCAATTATATCCATTTTTCCCAATTATTAGGTGTCTTCTTTCAATTGTATCTTGAAATTGGTAGACTTGCTCCATATCCATTGACAAATTAATCTGTATCCCGATAGAATCAACCCAAATTGTGTTTACTTTGTGAAGGAACCTGAATTAAAAGAATAATACATTAGAATTGGGTTCTTTTGTTTTTAGTTGTAGGCTCATTTCGTCTGGTTTCAACTATATTTGATTAATATGAGGGTTTAAAAAATGATTTTAGGCACTTCTGTTTGGATTAAGTGTTAATCCTAGTGAAACAGACTAAGGATTGAATGGAGACTAATGGTTAGACAAAAGGGTTGATGATTAAAAGCAAAATATTGAGCTTTAAGGCTCACTCTGCCTTTAATCATTGGCTATTGATTTATCATCGATTCTGAATTCAGACGAGAGAATAAAATCGATATTTCAGGTTTACAGATTTTGATGATCTTTTTTCCTTCTTTTCCAGTGAAAAAAACCACTTTTCTCCTTGCCTCTGATAAAAGGGAAAAGCAATGTTATTGACAGCAGTTGTATTAATAAAAGTTATTTATAAAGAGATGCTTTTATAAATAACCATAATGGCCAGCATAAAGATAATTTTTTAACATTACATTACAATGATTATGATGAATGGATTATTAGTATATTCTTGGAGCTTAGGATAACATAAGAAGCATAACATTGATTGAACGTTTTAACACGAGAACAAGTAGTTTGTTAGATGAGTTGCTCTCCAATTTATTCCAATTATTTCCATTGACCATTTGTTTGTTCAACTTGCAATCCTTTTCTCACAAATTTATTCACTGAAGCATGATAGAAATAGGTTGATATTAAATTTTGAAACTTAGAATTCACGAAAATTTAGAAACACATTTCAATAAATGATTAAATTTAAGAAATCAAGCTTTGAAAAGAAAACAATTCTTAGCTCCATCTTGTGGATTCAGTTGACCAACTCTTTAATTAAACCGCTTTTTGCATTAAAATGATTGTTTAGTCAAGACAATGGATCCGATATTAGATATCAATGACATTGATTTAACGTCTTAAATCGTATCTTAAGGCCATACTAACCGGCTTTTTTCATTTTCATTTCATTCCCTGATTATTCAAATGATATACTAATTTATTTTTGTGTTTATTGAAATTCGTTATTAGTTAAAACCATCGTCAAAATATGGTGATGCTACATTTGATGCTCCATTCTTCATGGCCTGGTATGCTTCCTTATGGAATGTCCTTTTCCTGCCAATATTTGCATCATTCAAAGTTTGCTGCTTCAATAAGGATAAAACATCAACCAAAAAGATGATTGTGTATGTATTTTAACATTTTATACTTATTGTTCATTTATAACTTTGATGCTCTAATCCCTGCTGATTAACCTTTATTTTTCTCTATTATTTTTTCCTATTATCATTGTCATTTTGGCTGGTGTTATCATTATCAGTGAAAGCATTCAACAGTTCATGGAAAGAGGTTTTTCGTTATTACAATTTTTCACTCGATGTGGCTTATTCTGTATTTTATGGATTCTATCCAATTATCTTCTCATCTATACCATTCGAAAGCTTGATACTACGGTTGTTATAGCTCTTTTTGCTTGTTCCGTTTCCTTTGTATACTTACTTTCCTGGGTTGTTTTACACCAGCAATTTGTTGGAATCAGAGTAAGTAATTTTTTTAATGGCTACATTTTCACTGTTGGGACACAGGTTGGCTATTATGAAAACCTCATCATCATCAGGTTCTAGGGATTTAATCAGCTTTTATCCTTTATATTCTTAATATCAGGTCTTACCTTTCTGCAACTATTGCAACATACATTTTCTTGCAACCAAAATCAATAATCCAAAAGTTCATAGTCTGGACTTATATTCAACTCGAGTTATTTTCAGTTCCTTTGATATACATGAAGTTTATCTGATTCTAGTTGAATTAATTTACCTTCATGTATTTTGATGGTTACTGGAAAAAGTAGAGCCCGATTACTATACTAGTATCGTGTTTGAGGTTAGTTTGTTAATGAAGAACATTTTTCTTATCAAGTTCAAAATTAATCTGTTGGTTAACAACTCGTGAGTTATTACCCAAAAATTGTATCACTCTTGAAATATAATTCAGGGTTTTGTTTTTCCTCTCTTAATAATTATTGCCTTCAGCTTGATAAAACTGTATAATTGAGTTGAATTTTTATGAAACAGAAATGAAATATTTGAGATTTAATTACTCCGATATTTCAAATTTATCTTAACCTAAACTGAGCATTTGGAGTGAAATTATTATTTTTTGTATATCATGCTTCTTAGGTGCAACTATTAGGTTGAGTAAAAATAAATGTCCGATTTTCGCATCCTGATTGTTAATCAATATCCTAACAATCAACCCACAGGATGAACATAATACAAATTAGCGGGAAATATTGCTTCAGTATTGAGGATCATTAGATAGCTTTGTTTAGTAAATTGTAATTCATTTAGTTAGTGTTTTTTAAGGTCAAAATGCAGCCAAATTCGGCAGAAATTCGGTTTGTTTTATTAAATAGATTTAAAAATGGCGATAATGCGACCCAGGCCTATCGATATTTGTGTTTTTCTTACGGTAGTGAAGTGCTAAGTGAGCGTCAGTGCCGAAGGTGGTTTTTAAAATTTCGTAGCGGCAATTTTGAGGTCAAAGATAGTCCCGGTCGGGGACGGAAAATGACCTTAAATCTTGAACGATTACAGGAAATCGTTCACGATAATCCACGCCAAACAACGCGGGAACTTGCCGTCATATTGGACTGCTGCCAGAAATCCATATGTAATGGCCTCAAACGCTTAGGACTTAAGTGCAAGAGAGGAACATGGATACCTCATAAATTGAGTTTGTCAAACAAAAAGCAAAGATTGGAAATTTGTGAGTTGTTGCTAAGCCGAAATTCAGCGGACCCATTTCTCGATCGGCTTATTACATGCGATGAGAAATGGGTCCTTTACGATAATGTTTACTGTGGCAAACAGTGGCTCCTGGTCAAGCCCCTATCCCCACTGCCCGATCAGGTTTGCACCCAAAAAAGGTGCTTATCAGCGTTTTTTGGGACTATCGTGGCATTGTTCACTTCGAGTTGCTCCCCGAAGGTCAAGCAATCAATGCTGCCACCTATTGTGAACAACTTGACCGCTTAAATTCAAAATTAAAAATCGAAAGACCATCATTGGTTAATCGAAAAGGTGTCATTTTTCATCAAGATAATGCTCGCCCTCATACTGCTACTTTGACCTCAAAAAAAATCAGGGACGAGCTCAAATGGGAAGTACTTCCCCACCCTCCCTATAGTCCCGATATTGCTCCATCGGACTATCACCTTTTTAGATCGATGGAACATTTTCTTCGAAATAAAAATTTCGATAATCGGGAAGCCCTCTATAATGGCCTCAAAACATTTTTCGAATCAAAAGACTCGAACTTTTATAAAAGAGGAATTTATAACCTCATTAAGCGATGGAAAAGACTGATTGACGCTGGTGGTGAATACAGCTTTTGATTGTGACCACTCATTTAATCTGAATTGACGATTAAAAATGACTCTTAAAACGGACATTAATTTTTACTCAACCTAATATAAACATCGAGTTTGCATATTATTCTGTTAAGATTTGTTATTTGCAAACTGTTTTATATTTGAAATGTAAGTTAGTAATGATATTAATATCAAAAATTATTAGGAAAATGAGAAACTTTCATCTTAAAAATATCATAAGATGTTAACTATTTAAATTGAACGAAACCAGACTTAATATAATCAGATTGTTTTTCTGCAATCTAGACGTTACTATAATAATAACTGATGAGGAATTTTGTGTATTAGAATTATGATAATCATATTAGTATTATGAGCAGTATTGAAATAACTTAAGTGTACTTTAGTATTTATGGCCAATTGTTACCATTCAATGTAATGCAAGAAACATGAAGATACCAAATCAAGAATAACCTTCTCAATTAACTAATTAACACCCATTTCCTTTGATTATCCTTTATAGATTGTTGGACTGATACTTTGTAATACAGGAACTGCGCTTTTGGCCTACATGGATGGTGTAAATAGGACGACTCTTTCAAATGTTTTGATCGCAATGATTGCCTGTTGTGCTGCAGCTATTTATAAGGTAAAAATATCGACAAAATAACCTAAATGTAGCTTTAAGATACTATTTTGATTGTTATTTGAAAAAAAATCATTAATATTTTTCACAAAGTTAATAGACTTCAGTATATTTTCAAAAAAAATACATCATTAATCAATTGTTTAGGTATTTAGGCTTTAAAGAGTTAATTTTCAATCCATCTCTATAGAGTAAATTTTTATAAAAAAAGAAGTCTTACAATTTAGTAAACAAAGGCTTTGATGAACAACCTGTTTGTTAATTGTTTGGTTAAAATACTTTTTTCTCTTTCGATTGACAGGTATTTTATAAGCGAACCTTAGGATACACAACATTCGCTCAAACCTCATTATTTTTCACTTTGGTTGGTTTTATGAATGCCTTTCTCATCTGGCCCATGGTTTTGTTACTTTACTTCACCGGAGCGGAAACACTCTCATGGACTCATATTCCTTGGCTTCCGCTTTCAGGTGCTGCAGCCTTAAGTTTAAATGCTAATATTTTGGGAAGCTTCGGTTTATGTTGGACTTATGAAATATTTTTAACCCTTGGACTTTTATTTGCTATCCCTTTCTCAGCTGGTGAGTATATCATGTAGTGATCTCAATCTCACCTTTTCGATTGAATCCTTTTTCCCTCTTTTATCTTCAATCGCCTTGAATTTGATTTATCTAATCGAATTACTATTGCTTGGAATGTTCATCTAATCAGAAGGGAATTGCTTGATTTTTCACGAAAATCTAATCAAGCTAATTGTTTCCAGTTAGTAAACTCATCTCATCCTGATTCATAGAAAGCAAAAATCTGATCAATTAAATAGACTAGCCGATATTGCTTTAATTATTTAAAGTAACAAAACCTAACCGTGTATGTACTCTGAAAGATATTTTGCAAGTTCTCCTCAAACTGTAAACATTTTTTCTGATTTATGATCAAATTGATTTTTTTATCACCCAAGGGCAATCAATAATTCCCAGGCTTACGTCTAATATCTAGAAAGTTTATCAACATTGCGTTAAATTTAAAGGAAACTAATGATTTATTGCTAACGATATTATTCATTATTCAAAAGTTATTTTTCTTCCACAATCACATCCTATTAAACTCAAATAAATGCTTAAATACCAGGTTATCATTAAAATCTAACCTTTTTCTATCTTTTTGTTCAAATTTTCAGTGATCGATGCAACTATCTACAAAGTTAGCTTCATAGAAATGAAACTTGGTGGAATATTGTTGATTATGTTTGGATTTGTAATTGTTTTATTACCTGATAATTGGAACCAATATTTAGCCAACATACTGCGATCTCGATTAGCTAAATGGAAAAGAAATGAACAGCTTAAAAAAAACGGATCAAGGGTCCAGGATACCTCGACGGCTCAACTATCAAGACTGAGAACACCAAGTGGAAGAGTCAAATGATGATTAAACCAAATTATGGTATTAATTCTAATAGCAATGCAAGAATGTCTTCATCAACATCAGCATCTTCAACGATTAAAACTTGATTGAAATAAAAAAATCAACTGATGTTAAAGATGAGGCGAAGCCCGATGGGTTGCCCTGTGACCCAAAATGTTGTCCTGATCAAAACAAAAATATAATCGCATCAAACACACTTTTAAACACCAAACTAAATAACCAATGACAATTTTAAAGATAATTTTGTCTATCTTTTTTCCTGTTATAATTTATAAAAGATCATTATTTTATTGTTATTGCTAACTGTTAACTCTTTTTATGATTTTATTTCTTTTGTTGTAATAAGTTCCATGTAATGATTATGATACTATCAACATGCAATGTTAGGGCAATCAAACGAGGATAAGAATTGTAATTATGCCTAAAATATTTCTTGCTACTCTCATTTGCTTTCTCTAAACAAACATTATGGCAATCAATTTAATTTAATTACAATTTCTTCTTGTTTCTCATTCTATTGAAAAATATTTCCATTTCTGGGAAATATTTTACTCAAAATGTAAGCAACGAAAAATCAAAGTATACTTACTTTAATTTTTGCTAGTAGTTAATCAAAACTGCTCACATTAAATGCTCTTATTCTGTGATTAAAATTTAATTGTTATTTAAAAGAATAAATATTTTTTTCGAAAAGATTAAATAAATCTCGGATTAGCGTTGCTATGTGAATAAAGTCATGATAAAGAGTGAAATGAAGCTCTAGTTTTATGGACTAAGGCTTCTAAATCAGCACATTAGTATGATAAAATGTTATGAAGATAAATCATGAAACATTGATATTCAATTAAGTGCAAATGGATTGTAATTAAAAATGATACTTGCAAATAAAGCAGAACAAATGATTCAATATTACGTCTGATCTTTTATTTGATCTAGTTTAAGCCTTTAGAGGCATATTCAAGTGGAAAATTTAAGATTTTTTAAACAACATTTTCTAAGAACAATTATCAGAAAAATTTAACATAATTTATAACAAGAATAAAAGCAAAAATATCGATTCAGATGAGTGATACTAATCAACGAACAGCTTTGATGAGCAAAGCATTCCGCAATCAGCATAAGATAAGTTCGGAACCCCACGGAGAATCAGTACATTGTTGCTTTTGTAGCTATCTGTTTATCATCTAGAATAGTATCTAAACTATTCTTGTGAATTATATTTTACTCTTAAAAATGAACTCCAACCTGTCTGAATATTTCATCAGTAATTTCCCGGATTGTTAATGTATCATCAAGCGGCAGAATTGGGCTTTCAGTCAAACCTTTGACTAAACAATCTCGTACATGTGAAGCTTCGTAACTCAAAAATCCACTATTAACAAAGTTACATTCAGCAATGACTTTAGGAGGTTCAAACTCAAGAACTTCTTCTTTAGAAAGATTTTCTCCTGTTAACACAATAACTTTAGTTGGGCACCAGAAAGGAACAGGAATTTTGATAGCGCCTTTGGTAAAAACAATATGAGCTTCGTTAGGCATTTGTCCTCGCAAAGTGTTTGACATCATTGCAACTTGACCATCAGAATATTTAAAAGCGACAGCGACTGATTCATCAACACCTGAATAGATTAAAGTTGATGTTGATGAAAAAATGTTACAAAATCAAATCAAATTTTAACAATTAAAACTTACCATCTTCATTAAGATGTCCAGTTGCCAAAATTTGCTCCGGTTTTTTATTACCAACTGCTACTTGGATTACGTTTATTGTATAAACTCCTAAATCAAGAAGAGTTCCACCTCCAGCAGCTTTCTTAATCAATCGCTCGACTTTAGTCAAATCTAAACCGAAAGTTGCATTGACAGAAACAACATCACCGAGAGCTTTAGTTTTGATTTTATCCATTAGGAGAGTAAAAACTGGATTGAAACGTGACCAAATTGCCTCCATTAAGAACAATTTTTTCGATCGAGCCAGATCGATTAACTCTCGTGCTTCTTGGCTGGTCGCAGTAAACGATTTTTCCACTAAAACATGTTTACCAGCTTCCAACATCATTTTAGTAGTGCTATAATGAAAACTCACAAGAGTCCCAATGTACACAACTTCAACATTTGGATCATTTGCAAGCTCTTGATAAGAACCATAAGCTCGAGGAATTTTATGATTAGCAGCAAATTTCAAGGCATCACCGATATTCCGGGCAGCTACAGCGACAGCCTGAAATAAAAGAGAAAGTTTAAACAGTATTAAAATGTAACATTTAAGCAATGGCATAATAAGACTTACCTGATGTTCAGCAGGATCTAAACTTCGAAGACAAACAGTGAAATCATGAGAGATTTTACCAGCACTGAGGATTCCCCATTTAGTTGCCATATTGATTTGATTTGTTGAAACTGCTAAGTTACTTAAAACTAGAATGAGAATTAAATGAAGCTAAAAGTAAAATATCGTGCTAATTATAGAGAATTTTCGAGGTGTGCAATCTTGAAGCAACACTCAGGGTGAGTCTAGAAAGCTTGTACAACAATAATAGATAAAAATTGAACGATAATTAGTCAGCAATGTCAAGAGGATTAGAAAATTCCCACCTAAGGAATGATAATAGAAAAATTAAAGCCCAAATCAGAATGACATTCCAATCGATCAGTTAAGCAATTAAAACATATTGAAATACTGCCAATGAAAAGCATTCCAATAAACAATGAGTGATTTAAATTTGAATAAGATTATCTAATTCTAGAAATTAAGATAAAACGTTTCATTTTTCATAATCAATCTGTTGCTATAAAAGTCAGGTGCGATAGATTCAAATCAGTTGACTTACCTTGAACAATACTGACTTGTGGCTCTAAACTAACTTAGAAATTTTTTAAAAAAATAACACAACCGGCAAGGAAATATTTTAAAAATCATTCATATTTGGCGATGATATAAAATTAATTAAACTTTAATTAAAAATTAGCGAAAAAATTAGCGAAAAATTTGTTTGCATCAAAACAAATTTTCTTCCGCTAACAACGATTCAATATATCGATATGATTACCATAGTAACTCAAATCACATGTTCACATATCACGTTTTTGATTCAGTTTAGAAGAAGTTTCATGTTCAATGAGTTTGTTCAAAATTCAGTTTAAGTAAAAATTATTTAAATTTATTATTATTAATTGTGGAACTATTTTTTGTTAATTGTGTTGAACATTATTTATTGTTACTTCCTCCATGGCAATTTTCGGGGATATTGCTACTATTCGGACTTGTATTGAGCCATTCACATGTATATTTCCTTCTCTTACACCGTATGGACAGGATAAAATTATTTTCAGTGAAAGTAAACATCTTGCTGTACTCTATGATTTGAATACATGCTTACCAATTAAGTGTTGGACTTTCAGTGAACTAGACTCGCTAGTTGCACCTCTAATTTATGACCATGTAAACGAAAAATTTGTTGCTGTTAAACAATTGAAAGTAGCTTTATATAAATGCGACTCTGAGGATGATCTTGTTCAAGTTAGGCTTGGTAAATCAATTCATTGCTTACTCGCCAGTCCTATCAAAGAGTCTTTAGTTCTATTTAAAAATGGGTTTGTTCGACCGTTGGGTTCAGTAATTGCCGAAAAGGGAAAATTTCCCGGAGATGGTATCATTCCAGAAAGCGAGGAAATAATAAAAACTACCATTAATCAATTTAATCCAGAATCATCTTGGGTTGCTCTATTAACTAAAACTCAAAATTGTTTCAATAAACTTTATATGATCAAAGCAGATTTTATTAATGGACTGGGAAATTTTGATGCCAAGTACACAGTAAAACAAAATTACAAATGTTTAACAATGACAAAAAGTGGGAAACCTATTGGTTTAACCGAAAATGGAAACATCCATCTTCTTGATATTGATGGCGACCAACTTCTGGTAAGTTTATCAACATTAACCATGCCAACAAACTATAGTTCTTAATAATCTTATTCTTGCTTTTTCAATCTCACAGCTATCTCTACGTGATTCCATCACAAAATTACAAATGTTTAACAATGACAAAAAGTGGGAAACCTATTGGTTTAACCGAAAATGGAAACATCCATCTTCTTGATCTTCCTAGATATAATTTTTGAGATAAAAGTAATTTTTTATCCGTTACACCCTTTATATTTCTTAATAATCTTATTCTCTCTTTTTCAATCTCACAGCTATCTCTACGTGATTCCATCACAATAAGTGCACTTTGTTTACCTGAGGAAGATACACTAGCCGTTGTTGTTCGAGAAGGGGAAACTTATTCATTGAAAATAGTTAATTTGAAATTTAAAGTTATCACTAGCCAATTACCTCTAGACATTGTACCTATACCTGATTTTATATCCCAATCAAATGGAAAACTCTTCATCGCCAGCCCAAAAGCAATGTTGTGCATACAATATGAAATCAAGCCCGCTACTTTGGCTAGCGTCATGGGGAAAAATTTCGTTCCAAATAACAAAAGCTGTAAACAGCAGCCTTCTTCTGACCATATCTTTCTCGATTCATCGACAGATATCAAAATAACTACACTATTAACTGATGGCATTACCTTGACTGAACTAAAGAAATTATTACCTAAACCTGATGAAATTTTATCAGAAAGGGCTATCTTTTCTGCTCTGGCAACTATTCTGAAAGCGAAATGTTTTTCGCCTCAAGATACTATGTGCAAAGAACTTTTAAATTCTATCATCTCTCGCCCATTCAATCATAACTTCATGGTTTCTGTTGTAAAATCAACTAATTTAAGTGCTGACCAATTTGTCCAAATTATCGACATCCTGATTGAAATGCTGCAAATAGATAATGGCTTTATAATTGATTGGTTAATCGTCATCTTGGACGCATGTTTAAAACTTCTGTTATTCACTAAAAGTGATGTTATCAAAAATACTCTTAAGAAATTGGACGACAAACTAATTATGATGGAAGAGTCGCTGGAAAAATGTCACGAAATATCCACACTATTGGATGATTTATTAACTTCTAAGACTAAATTATCTAATAACTCTATGTATAATGGTATAAAACATGATAAATATTGTATCGAGGTTCTTGAGTTATAATATATTTTTTCCATGTACACTATTCAAACTTGTCTCTTTTTTCAACAACTCATATTTGATCATTGACCAGACCCGAATGTAAAATACCGAATTTTTATAATGAAAATGAATTAGAGAAAGAAACGATAGCATTTCGAAATTAACAGTAAATTAATTTATTAGAACCAGTAAAATTTAAGCAACCAGCTCATAAGGTAAAGGAGCTAAATTAACCGGTCGGTTTACTCGTGTTACTCTAATCAAATGTCCACCTCTTGGTGCAACGGGTTGTCTCTTAAGGTTTGGTTTATTAACCTTCTTTTCCTTTGCGAGTTTCTTGAGTTCTTCATTCTCCTTAACACGGGTGAGGAAATCTTGACGACACTTGGAGTGAGAAACGTGTTCAATCCTAATGTTAATCTTCTTGGGAATAACTCGGTTTCGGACTCGCTTGTTGACAATAACTCCAAGACCATGTTTGGTTACATTGAAAACTCGGCCAGTTTTACCATGGTAAAATTTGAATGGCATACCTTTGTGGAAAGCACCATTACCTTTGATGTCAACAATATCCCCACGTTTGTAGACTTTCAAGAAGGTTGAAAGATGCTCAACACCTCGCCTTCTGAATGGCCGAGCAAAAGTGTATCTGGTACCTCGCCGATAACCCTTAGTATTTGTCATCTGAAAACAAAGAATCAAAACAATTTAATATATAATTTGAACAGTTAACTAATAATAACACAAATTAAAACAAAAAAACATACCTTTGATTAAATCCAATTGATGGAGTAACTACAATTAATAATACAATTACTGAAGAAACCAACTACTTAATATTTGTTGACTACTTTACAGGAAACGGAAAGAGCAAAAACATGGATGTAAGGTAAAAGTACTTTTGCTCAACTATAGATGGCGCATAAACAAAAATCAAAGAATAACAAGAAAAGGTAAGTTGTGAATCTCCCCGAAAGATGGTGCTCATGCAAGTGAGAAAAAGAAAGATAAAATAAACTTTATTTAATAAATCTGGCAACAGCGTCACCTTTAGGGGAGATCCACAAATAGCCCCTCATCAGAATTTGAAACTCTTGGTGTTTGTGCGGGCTCTAGAAGTCCGAAGTCAAGATTGAAAATAAAATCAGACCCAGGACCAAAAAGTATGATACAGTTGTATTACTCATTGCCCAGGACCCACTACCTTATCGTGCGTGTCTTCTCGTTACTCTTTGCAGAAATGCAATTTCAAGCTTTGAATTTCTGAACAATTCAGATCCATGATAATAAGAAAATGTCGGGATAAATCCTAATGAATAAAGAGTAAAGACTTCTTTGAAGTAAAATAAAATATGTAACTTTAATTTGAACTATCTAATCCAAACGATACCCTCTTTTTCAATTCGCTAAATTTTAAGCCATAAAATAAAATTAAATAAAATGCAGTTTCTAAATGAAAGACTTTGAAATTTCTTGCTCTCAAATCGAAATTATGGCAGAAGACACACAATTAATTTAATAACGCGAAGAATATGCAAATAAACATCTTGACAGAATGTACTTAGTTAAATTATTTACTTCAGAAGATTATACTTTTACAAAAAATGAAATCTTCATTGAATTGTGATACCACCAGATTGTTGTTGTTGAAGTTCTTTAGCCTTTGCTTTCTCAAGCTTGGCTTGTTTAGCTCGAGACCTAAAACTGAGAACACCACCACCCCATTGTTTTCTCATTTCTTCGTATCTATCGTTAAAGTTAGTCTTAATGGTTTCACAGAGTTTGGCCAAGTTGTTCTGAAAAAGAAAAAAAGTTAAAAAAAATTAGACTCAAGTCGAAAGATAGATTCATTTTAGCTATGGGTAAAACTTACCTTATCCTCGGGATTGACATTTACAAGAGCACAACAAGCAATGCTCTTACGTCGGACAATGTAGCCCAATCGTGATCGTCCACCTTTAACGATGCAATAAGGAATACCCATCTTTCTGCAGAGGGTAGGAAGATGTAAAACAATTTCGATGGGGTCAACGTCAGCAGCAATAATAACCAGAGCAGCTTTCTTTTGCTCAACTAAAGATGTAACCTTGTTGCAACCTAAAATTTATAAAAAAAATTATTGTGAGATCAAATGCAGAACAATTGGTCAAGAATTAGATGAAGGCTAGAATTAATAAGACATACCAAATCGAACGGTTGGAGGTCTTTTTTGTGGAGTGACTTTCTTGCCAGCAGCCTTTTCTTTAGCGATAGCTCTCAACCTAAGTTTCTTAGCTCGCTTGTCTTCAGGTCGATACTTTTCCAACAAACGGAACAACTGAATAGCTGTTTGTTTATCCAGATTACATGCTCTGAATTGGTTGACTGAAGGTGGAACCTTAATTCTCTGGTTAAGAATAGCACGTTTACGTTGGAGCAAGATATACCTTGGCCATCGAACAAATCTTGTAAGATCACGTTTAGGTTGAATGTCTTGACCAATACCGAAATTCTTAGGTCTCTTTTGAATTAAAGGGTTCTTTTTCTTCTCTTTGATAACTGGAACCACAGTTTTCTTGGGTTGAACGACAACCGGCGGAGGTGGTGGTGGAACCTTCTTCCTTCTAACAATTTTAATCTGTTAAATGGTGAAAAAACACATTGATTAAACACACAAGTCAGGGCATAAAACATGGTTAACCAATCACTAATCAATAATTACCTTTTTAACAACCATTTTGTATATTAATTAACTAAAACAATTAAATTGTAAACTAACAAATTTCCATGAAAGGAAGAAATGTGGAATTGAAAATATTGTCCCAACTAAAAACAGTTCACAATGTTCGTTTCCGTTTCCGTAAAGTAACTAGGGAGATACTGGAGCTCCCCCTGGTAAGGAATCACCGCCAAAACTGAAATTCACATCTTACATTACCTTACATTAAATATGGCAATACATGATTAATCAAATGAAGTACAATCAATTAAAATTAATTGTTCAAATTGCCATAAAGACTCTTCGATTTAAAACTTAATAAATTAATGTAATTTTACACAACATCTAATAGAGAGAGCTTTCTTATTTAAATTTTAGAATCAAGTGATTACTATAAAGATTGTTTTTTAGCTATAAGTTTAAAACAGTAGTTTCACGATTGTCAGATAATTACAGAATGACAATAAAATGAATAAAAACAGAGATGGATTTTTAATTGTAGGAATCAAATTTATTGACTATAGTTTTTAAATATATTGATTGCAAATATATTGTGCTGAGTTTGCATTGAAATAGCATTAAATAGGTTTCTTTTCGCCATTATAACTTTAACTACATGGAAAAGGTGAAGATTGACTAATTACAATATTTAATTTGATTTAAGTTCGTCCAGGATACGGTTCAACTCGGTTCTTTCTCATGATGAAACTAATCTTTCTTGCCATGTCTTCTTCATAAATGGCCTTACATCTCTCGAAATTGAATCTCCTTCTGGCAAGATAAGGTTTTTCATATCTTTGATTTCGTCTAAAATTTTCGAAACAGCCTTCACTGGCAAGAACTCTGAAATAAAACGAAAAAATATGAATATTAAAATGAAATCTCGTTACATTCAACATGAATGTTAAAAAACATTTGATATTAGTTATGGTGGAAAAATCAATTTAAGGATGCTTACCTGTTCATAATCTTGAAAGCAGCTTCAATTTTACCATCTTTAACTAAAACAGTACGACCAAGAAACTTAATGTGCCTCATAATTAAACTATTTAATTAAAATGCAAAAATTAACACAAAAGTCATTGAGATGGTTACTAGAGTAACATGTGTTAAAGCAAAACATTTTACTTTACTGAAGCGCCATAAACAAACCCACAAACATGTGATAAACATTGTTATTCTTTACTATTGCTGACTTTATTTATGTTTATTAATAATAATTTATTTATGCTCGAATTTTCATCAGTCAAATTCATGAATTCAACTTCTAAGCTTTTGAGATCTTGTTTCCCTGTTTATCATCATCATGTCAATCGTGCTTATTATGCCAATCGGAAAAACAACAACAAACTTGTGATACCAGCTTCTTCTGAAAGGATTCACTTGGTTGACGCTGAGGTGATTAAATTTACAGTTGATTCGATTAGCTCTGATTGGTCCAAGGAGACAGCAATAGTAATCGATACATCACCAGGACCTGGTCTGCTCCTTGAAGCCCTTCTCAAAGCTGGTGCTCCTAAAGTTAGAGGATTACTTCATGGTTCCAGTCCATACAAATCTGTTTTACAAGTGAGTTTGCTTGTTAACCTCTCAAATTGTAAACAATACTAATCGTTATTTCAATTTTACTCTTTTCTAGACATTACAAGAAACTTATCCTGATAGATTGGAACTACGGAATTTTGATTTTCATAATTTTAGGAGCAATTTTAAAGAAAACAGTGGAATTGAAGGTTGCAAAAGAGTACTCGATTCTGCTCTGGAAACAGCCCCTGTTAACTGGACTGACGACCCTCCTCTAAAACTTATTTTAACTTTGACCCCTAGTACAGAGAGAAGAGTTCTTCGTCGATTAATTAGCGAGTTAACTTTACAAAGTGGCATCTATGCTTCTGGACGATCTCAGTTATTTGTTTTCCTAAGTGAGAAAGAATATGGCTTTATGAAAACCAAGAAGGATGTTAGGCCGATTCATCATCAAGCCTCGCATATTTTGTATCAATCTTTTTTTCAAATTAATCACCTTGCAACATTCAATTTTGACTGTTTCTATCCTTCTGTAAATAATCCAAAAGTAAGTTCATAAACGTAAAATGATCAAATCTCCTTTTCATTAATTTCATTTTCAACTTTTCCCAAATAGACGAAAAATAGCAATCCTGAGAATGTACATTTGGTTTCTATACTACCTAAACTGGAGTTACCTGATTTAATATCAACCAAAGATTGGCCTGATTATTTTTATTTTGTGAAACAAACAATGGCTCGAAGGAGAAATCGAATCATTCCATTCATGGAGTAAGTTTGAGTCTATTATGTAAGCCATTATACAATTTATTTATTTTACTTTTCATCATGTTTTACAGAAAACTAGTCTCCGATTGTGGCCTTAAATTGATTAAGAATGGTATTACTGTACATAAGGCTTTCAAAGATTTGGAACCAGATGAATTCATCAAATTATTCGTCGAAATGAGGAGTTGGCCAGAGTTTGAAGTTTCAAATTTAGCAGAGGCTACGAAAGGATTTCTTACTGAGAATGATCAATATTTACTGCAACATGGATTTTCAATGAACAAAAAGTGATTTAAATTGATTAGAGTTTCATGAATTGGTCTCAAAATTCAAAAGCTAATAATTTTACAGCTCAGTTGAATAACACATCAAATTCTGATTTTTTAGCGTAGTCATGACCATAATCTCATGTACAAATACATTAAGATTATAATATGCCAAGAAAAATTCATAATTAAAATCAATACTTAAATGGTATTAATCTGATTATCTGCATATCTTATTTTTGAAATTAATCTAGTAGCGAAACATGTAAAGAAACTGAATTATCTGATCTGTCTTGATAAATTGAAAAATCAATGTGTTGTAATTTTTTTAAAAAGCCTCATGTATTTAACCAGATGGAGCTACAAACAAATAACATGAGTTTTCTTCAATGTTTACATCGTAAAAGTGAATGAATCAAAAAGGATAGACTTGTAAATTTTAATTAAGCTTAATTACTGCTTTTACCTAGTCTATATAATTTATTTATTTAGTCCAATAAATCATGAACTGATTTAAAGTGTTGTGCCTTGAAATCACTTGAAAACAATCTTCAAAATAACCGTGTTTTTACTTGTGAAAAATTTTCCTTTCTCGTTTTCTAATCAATCTTAGTTTTTTCATGGTTTCAACTTGATTGTCATTTAATTAGTGTTAAACGTGTAAAATTTTAGCATAAACACGACAATAGTGTTTGGCAAACCGATGAGAACTGCGGATGAATCAAGAATTGAATTAAAACCATTCTATTCGATTGCCCGTCAAACTAAAAGCTCAAGGTTTAGGTAAAGTATATAATACGACTTTCTTGTTTATTCTAATGTCTTGAAATGAATTCGCACAAGGGGTTTCAAGTGTCCCTGGGAAGGTCTGAGAATGTCGCTTTTAGGTTCTTGCTGAACCCCTTCTTAATGGAGGTCGGGTAGTTAGAAATAAACTGGTTGACCATGGATTATGGTAAGAGAGATTGTAACTTTATTAGTTACGATTGATACCTTACATGGTTGACTGAGTTGAAAATGACCCGAGACTAGCTCGTTTAAGCTCGATGTGCGAAGTGGTTAGACTATTGGTTTAACCATTACTCAATTCGGACTATTACATTTCAAGACATCACACTTTTTTTGAAGCGATGTATATTTGATTTTCAAATACAATTAAAATTGTTTTCTTTTCATTTCAGGTTTCAACCAACTTCAATTTAGAAAATTTGAAATCTAATCTCAGTTTTCACGAGACAATTTATTTGCCGATCGCAATGATTTTTAAAAACTCCTTCAAAGTGATCTTGCCAATCTTCAAACGTTTCAATGCAACTTCATTGTTACGACGTTATTCGAACAAGCCAAATCTTCTTGAAATACCTATTCCTAAAGTACTGCTTTCAAAGGCAAATCTAGATCAAACTAATAGATTTGATGCATTGGTTGATGAGCTGAATCAACTTCATGAAATTATGAACGAAGCTGATTCAAATTTGGAAAACTTGGTCAATGAAGATCTTCGTAAGCTAAGAGTCAAATTTTTGGACCTTCAAAATGACATCATTGATACTTTAACCAAAGATGAATACAGCAATGTTAATGAATGTTTCCTGGAAATCAAAGCAGGAGTTGGTGGTCAAGAGGCCATGTTATTTGCCGCTGAATTGTTACAAATTTATCTGAAGTACATTAAATGGCATGGATGGATGATTGCAAGTGTTGAAGATGATTTGAGTGAACTGGGGGGATTGAAACACGCTGCATTAAGCATAAAAGGCTTTCAAGTATTTACCTTTCTTCGTCATGAAGCTGGTGTTCATAGAATACAAAGAGTTCCCTCAACAGAAAGGAGTGGACGAATTCATACCTCGACTGCATCCGTTGGTATTTTACCTCTTCGTAATTTAGGTAAAATTGACCTTAAAGATGCTGATTTGAAATTTGAAGCAACAACCTCTTCTGGTCCTGGTGGGCAACATGTCAATAGAACAGAAACTTGTGCTCGCGTTGTACATTTGCCAACAAACCTACAAGTCGTTTGTCAAGAAACAAGATCTTATTTGGAGAATAAGGAAAGAGCATTGCAACGTTTAAAAAGCTTGCTTGCGCGACGTGAAAATGAGCTACATTATGCTAATTATCAAAAACTTAGACGAGAACAATATGGTGATTCTGGAAGGAGTGAGAAAATACGAACTTATAATATTGTTCAAGATAGAGTGACTGATCATAGGCTAAATGAAAATTTGTATCATATTAAAGATTTCATGAAAGGCGAACCTGAAAGGTTACACAGGATGATTGTTAAATTAGAGGATATAAGAAAACAATCTATTTTAAAGCGAGTACTTGTCGATTGTAAATAGTCGTAAATGGTTATGAAAACTTATTAAAAAGAGCAACTATCCAAAAGTAACAATATAAAACGAATATTTCACTTTTTTTACTCTTTTTTATTAATTTAGACATTTGAAAAACAGTCGGAAACTATTCATGGAATCAACCAAACTTATTCCAGTGGCACTTCCATTTCTTTGTTATCAATCTTTTCAATAAGAGTATGTGGATGCATTCCTTCTACAGAGCAACCTACACTCTGACATGTACCAAGAATTTCTTTTACGGTTCCTTCCAATTGTTTAGCCATACTTCTATTCCTCATGGCTCGTGCAATAGTCAGGATATCGTCAAAAGATAAATTACCGCTGTGTTTCACATTTTTGACCTTTTTACGATCCCTGGGTGGTTCTTTAAGAGCACGAATAATTAAACTAGCAGCACTGGGTACAACGTCAATAGTGGCTTGCCTGTTTTGAATGGTCAGTTTAACAGTAACTTTAAGTCCCTTCCATTCGGCGGTTGCTTTAGCAATATCGTCACCAACCTTTTTAGGTGATAAACCGAGAGGACCGATTTTTGGAGCAAGTGATGAGGTAGCTCCAACTTCACCTCCGACAGCTCGCAGGTAAACTGTTGGACAAGATCAAGATAAAAAATGAAAAGGTTAGTCGCAAGAAAGGTATCATGTGAGAAATCAATATTAAAGGAACAACAGACAAAGTACTTCAATAGTGATTATACATACCGATTTTGATTTCTGATGGATCAACTTTTGGAGGCATGATTAATTAATATATTTAAAGTATATTTAAAGACTACAAAATCGTAAACAAGAGCAACAAACCGCAAACCGTACTTTTACACTGAAACGGAAGAGGAAACTAATGTTGAGTAAAATTATAAACCAAAAAGCATTTCGGAAAATGCACAAAAGAGGCGCGAGCTACAAATTTTATTCCATTTGAAAAATATTCTTTTTATTGAAGCTCAATAAATGTATCAGGAATAAGATTTTAAACTACTATAACGATTAATAATAGGGAAAATGTAATAGATCTGATTAATCAATCGATAAATTAACTAATTATCAAAAAGAAAGTTAATCTTTTAAGAAATTCAAAGATAATTTTAAACTATTCATAAGTCGCGGTGTAGTTGCTCTAAAATACCGCTTGGGTATCACCTTGACTACTCTGCGGAAACGGAAGATTTGTTTTGGAGCTGAGTCTTTAGATTTTGTTTAAGTAATTAAGTTAAGTTAAAGTTTAATTTTTTGGTCTGTGTTTATTAAATTAATTACAATGGCTAGATATTCAACTGAACCAGACAACCCCACAAAATGTAAGTTTTTTTGTACCTTTGAAGTTAAATTCCTCATCTAATATTCTGTTTTTCAATTCTTCAGCATGTAAAGCCAGGGGATCTAATTTAAGAGTTCACTTTAAGGTAAGATTTTTTTCTATTTCATTCAATATCAATGGTTTCTAACTATTTGTTTTGCTCTGTATATTCAGAACACTAGGGAAACCGCTGCTGTCATTAGGAAAATGCCCTTACGAAGAGCTCAAAGATTCCTTAAAAATGTTATAGTCAAAAAGGAAATCGTCCCATTCCGCCGGTTCAATGGTGGTATTGGTAGGAAAGCTCAGGTTGGTATTTTGTGCTTATTATTCATAATCTTTACTGTTGAGTCTTTTTTAACATGACTTTTCATTATCTTTAGGCTAAGGCATGGGGAGCTACCCAAGGTAGATGGCCCAAAAAATCAGCTGAATTCTTACTCCAACTTCTTCGTAATGCTGAAAGTAATGCCGATTTGAAAGGATTAGATGGGGATAAATTGGTAATTGAACACATCCAAGTTAACAGAGCCCCTAAAATGAGAAGAAGGACTTACCGTGCCCATGGTCGAATTAACCGTAAGTTTTATCACCGTTAATTTTTTCCGAAACCTGTTCACTAATCTTTTCTATCTTTCGTTCATATTTCTATAGCTTACATGAGTAGCCCATGCCATCTTGAAGTGATTTTATCCGAAAAGGAAGAAGTCGTTGCAAAACCAGCTGGCGGAGAAGAAGCACCCAAAAAGAAGGTTTCCAAAAAGAAGTTAGCTCGACAAAAGTTGATGAACAGAGAGTAGAAATACTTTGTCCCGATATTTAAATCAAATGTTAAACTGAAATTTCTCACTTTTGTGATTAAAAAACGTCAACAAAAATTACTGTTTTTTTTGTTCGAGTGTATATGCGGAATAAAGGTTCGAAATTGAAGTTTAAGCAAAGTGACTTTATTACTTTTTTACATAGTTTACCAATCTTTTAGATTCAATTTAGATAGATAAATACAATCGGTAAAACAAAATACTTGATGAGTTGTGAATGAACTGAGCTATGATTCGTATTCACAAAATTTTATAAAGTGAAAAACAAGAATTTACCAAATATAGACAATAAAAACACAGTGGAAAGATAAAAAATTTATGTATAATATGTTCAACAGTCGGTGTTTTTGGTTTTTTCATATTTTTGGTCAGTTTTCAAGAAAAAAATATAAACCTCTCATAGATCTGTTACAGGAACTGTACTTCTTGATTGGCAGAAAAATCTCATCTCTTGATTACAGGTAGCAGTTATATTGGTTCTACTTTGTCGATATGTATGATTACCAAAATATCTTTTCCAATACTGTTTCTCAAGATGTCTTTGACGGAGACGATGTAAAATGATGGATAAAACTATGAGTATGAAAAATAAAATAACAAACAATACAGTTCCTAAAACAGTGAGCTGATTTGATGATGATGATGGTGACCGTGAAAGAGAGCCATATTCGTGTAAGACACATCTAGGTTTATTCGAAGTCCAGCTCCCATGACGACAACGAATCCAAGGTGGGCCATCGCGATAATAATTAGGATTGCAGTAAAAAGCTATGACAACCCCATCAGAATAACCAGTGATCTTGGAAGATCCATTATGTCGACCGTTCTCAAGTGGTGTTATTACAGAGCAAAATTTTTTACCGGGATCAGAACATTTGAAACCATTCAACTCCCAAGAGCCATCTTCTTTACAACGTATAGTTGTTCTGTTTTTATCGTGACATGTTGCAAGTACAGTAGCTCCGATAGAATACTGACTTTTCCTGGGTAGAGTTAAAACACCGGAACGCGAAGTCGCATAGTTGAGGCAGAAATTTTCAACACATCTAGACAAACTGCCCTTCCATTTGCCATTAGATTCACATGATAAAGAAACGCTTTTTTCTACATGATATTTGGGTGGACACGAAATAGTTGCGGTGGATTTGTAAGAACGTTTACTATCACTATACACGATAGATCCGATTTGAGGATTCTCCAGTTTTGGACATGAAACAGCTATGAAAGGAAAAATAAAATTTGAATAATTTTGTTTCGCAATGCTCCATGTGAGCGTCCGAAAAGAGAGAGTAATACTTACGATCACATCTAGGCAGTTGTCTATTCCAGACACCGTTTTGGGTACAATGGAGGAACGGCGCACCAGACATAACATAGCCTGGATTACAGCTATAGCTAATGTTGGAAGCATAATTAAAACCAACGGCAATTCTAACAGCATTCTCAACAAAGCCTGGATCAGTGCATGTGATTACTAGAGAAAAAAAATAAAAGATGTTATTTAAATGCTCAAATTGCTTCTTGCAAACTCGTTACTCACTTTGACAGACCAGAGTTGAATTTTCCCATTTAGTTCTTGTAATAAATGGTAAAATGGATGGATAAGTAATACATTTGATCTCGTAGGATCCGTGACTTCGATAATAACCATTATCACAGGAATAAGTTACCGTTGTGCCAGCAACGACAGAGATATTTGGATTTTGAACATTAGGTACAGCATGAGGAATACTAGGAATCGGTGGGCAAACTTGCCTGTTTGGCAATTTATTTGGTTGACTTATGGATGTGACTATGTCTGGAATATTTTTTTCACTTTCGTTTTGCCCTTCAGGAATTCCGTCAGTGTGATATAATGTTGCTTCAATGTGGTTATCATTTACGTTGGTAGTAATGTTGGTTGAACATGGAACTAAATGCAACATACAGCTCATCATCATCAAAATCACGAAATGGAATTGTCTTAAGAGTATAATACACATCGCTGAATCACTGGGCTCAAATTTTGCTCAGAAGAGACAAAGATAGGCCACTGAATAGGAAAATAAACTTTTTCATAAGATTACATGGCAGGTACACAATAAAAATACAAAATAAAGAAGATGAGAAGAAACACAAAGGCCCGGACACTCTGAAGGAATCGGATGACCTGTTTATGACAAAAGAGAAGGATAGGAAACAAATAATAGATCATAAGCAACAATCAATGCCCTCCGATTGGAAGCGTAGGAGGAAAAGAAATCATAGGAGTAAGTTAAAGTAGAAATTGCATAAAGAGATAATTACATTGGTTAGATAGCTTAAAAGTATCAGCTTACCGTTTAAAATTGGTTGATCATGTTATTTACATCCGTCATAAAAATAATAGAGCCCAGTCTGAGAAGACCAAATTAAAAGTAGAGAATGATGATAACGATGGTGGTGAAGATGAAGATGAAGAAAGAAGCAAAAAAAGAAAGAGAAAACAAATGACTGAAGTAACTTAGGGCAAAATAATAAGAAAACAAGCGGACGGAATGTATGCCTCTTTTTCACAGAGTAGCGTTACGTATTGACAGCATAATTATTGGCTCACATATAGATATCCTTAATTAACTCATTAGCACAATTAGTGGAAATATCAAATCAATTGTTTCCAACGTAAAAAGGGTCACCAAAAAAAGGGTAAATAAAAAAAAAACAGTCAAAATAAGAAAAGTTAAATCCAACAAGTTTAACAATAGCGTTTATAAGAATGTAATGTAATGGTAAAAGTTTTACTACAGATGGCGTTGACGATGGTAAAAAGCTAAAAGCTGTTTGACGGGTTTAAAAGACAGTAAATGTAGAAAGAGACTGTCATGACCTGGCTCAATTTCATCAGTTGAGATCAACAGTTCACGGTTTTACGGTAAAACCATTTAAGATTAACTAACAATTGGCCAACTGAAATTAACCTTGATTCAGATGTTATTTTTAATAGTGATTGGCAGTTATCTGTTTTTTATTTTCCAACTGTAAAGTAATTCAAGTATCCCAACTGTCTGACCCATGGTCAAAGTGAAATGTTAATAAACTGTTATTCAAAATATATTACATCAAAACCTTTTCTGTTTTACGCATTAATCTGGAATGTTCACTTGATAGGAATATTTATTTTCCATTTTTCTGTCTTCATTGTTATAAGTTATAACCTTTGGTTATTGTTTTTTGTTTTTTTTTCATGTTATAGTTATGTTGTATGTTGACAATTAATCAATTTATGGCCCAATGCTTTTCAAGTTTGTTTGCTTAAATATTTAGATTGGTTATCGTTGGTTTGGGAAGCAACTCTTATTATTAATATTACTCTGAGATTGTCCCACCATTTTCTCATGTGTTATCAGGGGTTAAAGTGATTATATTATGACAAAGCAGACTTTGAATATAAACGGTCCTTCCAAGTGACCAGATTACGTTTTATCTTGTCTTATAGCCTGGTAAATTGAAATGTAAACTGATTAACATTGTTTCACATTGCAGGTACTTTATTTGTGATAAACTTAAAAATGCCATTAATCAAGCTAAAAAGATCTTATCTGCTGGAAATTTGATTCATCTGTTAATTGGATCCTCTTTTCCCTGTAACCATTCCGTTTATTGATAATTTTTGGATTTTTAATGAGTAATTTTGAGACCTCTTTTAATCATAAAAACAAACTAATCGGCAATCAATTAGCAAGGAGAAGAAGTAAACAATAAAGAAAAGATGATCACTCTTTTGATTCAAGACGTTAGGGTTCATCAGACAGACAAGTGTTGGTAAATAATAGAGATGGCAGGATCGACGATCAGCTCGATCTTCAGATCGAAAAAATTAAAAGGTTGAGCACGGATCGAGTTTAAATTTTATGATTTTTTTGCAACTCAAATGATTGAGTGAAGACCAAAATCATCAAATTTCTATCATTCCATAAGTTATTTTGTATATTTTAGGCCTTTCAATCTTTTGCGAGGACTCGAAACTTTAAAGGTTGAGTTCAATCTGACTGAAAGGCATATCGACTCGCCGTAGCTCTTCAAGATCGATCCTTTTCTGGCATCTCTAGTAAATGAACTGATCAGTTTCATTTTTTTTGTTGAAATGTTTAAACGCTTCATTGAACTCAACAAAATTATTGCTGACTAAATAGTGATAAAACTTCTTAAAAAGATTTTTTTTCGTGAAAATCGTCCAAAAGGACTGATTCCACGAAAGACCATTATGGGAACAGCAACTGTGATTTTTCGCTCTACCAATTTTTGACTGGTCAGTGGAGAGTAACGCATTGCTGTTGCCTGCAACTTCACAAACATTTATGAAATTATTATGAAGTGTTCATAAAATGAACTTGATTTTATTGTTGAAATGAGTATTGTCTCATCTGAGGTAATTGAATCAGGAATGTTTTGATGAGATCTTTGAGTGATTTTATTGTTTTGTGGTTTTCAAGATGAAATTGAGGATCAAATCACTAAGGTAGAGGTTCATAATACTTTAAAAGATAAATGAATATTTTTCCATTAGAGAATTAAATTGTGCCGTCTAAATAGAAATAGAAATCTAAAAACCTGATTAGATCATTTAATCGAACAGATGAGGTTTTTGAACTTTGACTTTTTTCATGACTAGAATCAGAACCCAAACGAGCACGCTTTAGGAAACTTAGGGTTGGGAAGGAAGTCTATGATTTACCATTAAAGGCAATAACCAATCGAGTCTCTAGACTGATAATATTCAACATCATTAGAATTGTATTTTGTCTCATTTGACAGGTAAATATCAATGGACTTTTCCCAAGCAAACGGTTTGCTTGTTATACCAACGAAACCTTAATGTGATTTTTCAGGAATAATTATTTTCTCACGCTGATTTTATTTTTGGGTTCTCGGAATATTTGGTTGAATTATACGTCAGTCACTCGGTTATTTAATCCAGAGCAATGTTTTCTTTCATGAATTTACACACATATATTCATTTGGTGGTCAAGCTGACGATAGAATTGAAACTTCTTTAAATTATGAAATCTGGTGATTGAATTCTGGAGAAACAATGTAAACATGAACCGAGTTTTGAATGATTGATATTTCTTCAGCCTAGCAAGATTCATGCTGATAGTGTTTTCAACCCCTAAAATTATAAATACTGGGAAAATGAAAATACGTGAGATCGATGGGCAGTTTAAAGATAAAAAGCTATTTGACTCTAATATTGTTTTTCCAGCTCTTCACATTAATAAAGATAACAACCTCTTCTGTTCCGGTGAAATCAACATTAAGGATTTGCTTCATGGTAAGAAGTTTTCTGTGAAAATTTTCCTTTACGATTAACTCATTAAGGGAATATCTTTCTTCGAATTCTTTTATTCTAGAATCTTGAATATCCTCCCCACAGACTGCCATGATTGTCTCTAATTCACATCTCTTAGCCGATTCTAGTTGATTGTTGGACTAACATCATCGTTAGTATCATCGAAGATCAACAGTTTGCTTGAAGCCTTGTAGAAAGTTAGGTAACTTTTGGAAAATGATTAATTCTCGTTTAGTAAGCAATTAAATTATATTTTGAAGTCTTTATTATAAAATTTGAATGCATTATTCACTTTAAATTATTTACATTTGCTAATCAAACTTTGGTTTAAACTTTTAAGGCAAACAGTGTATTTCAACATCGATAGATGGAGGCAGTTTAGTTTGGGAAAAGATTCGTTTCTGTTTTTTGAGTTTAAACTTTCACTTTAATTGTTAGTTAAATTGAATTGAAATCAACTAGTTTCTCTAATAATTGTGGGCAAATAAATTGAATCCGATTAGTGTTCAGTGATATTAAGAAGTAAATTTTTCATTTCTTTCGTGATTGAAGACTATTTCGAAAGCAATCATAAAATATTAACAAAAAGTAAAATTTGCAAATTGATTCAAATGGACGCTTTGAAATTGGAGATTATTGCTTTCGATGGATTGGTCTGAACTAAATAAAAACGTATCACATAACATAGAGCCTTGAAGTTACCTTGAATCAAATAATACTTTTGAGCGAAGATACTAGTTTAAGCTAAAAAAGGAAGATTTAGAAACTCAAAATGTTGAAACAAATCCCCAAAATTAAGAGTCGAAATAATTTCCTCTCAAAAAATTGGAAAACGATAAAGTCGTTAATCAACTTTGGCTAATGGATTCATTAAATCGTCTTAAATCCTTTAAATGACTGAAAAATTTCCCTTTCAAGATAGCCAATCAGTTTAAATTAATTTGAGTTTTACCAGCTCATAAAATACGCACATCAACCTTATATTTGTTAATTATACTCATCATTAGTTGGCTTGAATTTTTCAAATTGTTTGCTATTTTAAACACTCTTAATTATTTCGCTCTCACAGTAAAAATCACTTTAAATCAAAATTTCAAATCAAAGAATCGGCTCAGAAGAAACAAACAACAGAAAGTGATATGAGTTTAATCTGTATGGGAAACGAATAACCAAATCTCAACAGTAAACATAGTTAATGAATAATTTCTGAATCAATATTCGACTAATGACCGCTAATTTCAAGCAAATATCAGCTGCAGTTGAAATTAAATTTTAAGCAACAAATCGACAAATATTTAAGCTGCATTTCAAATGATTTTGCTTAATGCATGTTCAGTTTGAGTAAACATTCACTAACATAAACTTGAATAAGTTCATGGTCTGCAAAATCATTGAAAATCATTGTAAAACATCAGGTAAACCATAGCTGATGTTTAGATGTTCAGTCCATGTTAAGACCAGTTAAATCCAATGAAATGCCATTCCAAACTAGAAAAAGATGCGAAGAGAAAAATGAATTTTTAATAATTCTTACTGAAAAATGAAAAGTCATCGATATAGGGTATTAACCTGGTGATTTTGAAATTGAAGATTTGAAAAAACTAGGAAATCATGAGAGTTACTAACACTGACAACTTCATTTCGTTGCCATATTGATTTGATTTGTTGATCCAATGACGAATCTTGAAAAGTTGAAAAGGCAAAGGAAGAGGCAAAGTTATGCTGTTTGAAAGTCGGTCTTATTGAAAAATGGTTTTATCAAAAGAGAAGCAGCAAAAAATGTTTTGTTAAAACAACTCACCAATGGCTTTGTTGTTGATCGCCAAAAGATTGCGAATCCCAGCAATTTGTCTGTTATCACTTTCAGCGGCATCAAAAAATGAAATCAACTGCATTAACAGTCATTTTAACAGTGAGGCAAGAAGAAAAGCAGAAGAAGATAATGATGATAATGATGAAGATAATGGAAGAAAATGAGTCAGACAAATCTTACAACAACACCTAATCATGGTTCACTTACAGATGAGTGAAGCAAAGGAAAGGAAAAACATCTTCAGATGAACAAAAAAAAGAAACCAATCTTTATCCGATGAAAGATGAAAAGGTGAAAATAACTGCCGAAGAGTTGATGATTACCATGATGTTGATGATGATGTTGATGGTAATGTTGATGGTGATGAAAAATGAAGAGGTAGGCTCTTCTTTACTTTGAAACTGAGATGTATTTTTACACATATTTGCCGGTTCATTATAAAAAGGTGAGAGAAAACTCATAATCTTTTTTTTCCATCTTTACTTACTTGTTGATGATAATGATTACGATGACCATGATGATGATCAAGATGATGGGAATGATTAAAAAGAAGAAGATGATGATGATGATGATAATTAAGAAGAAGAAGAAATGGGAAAGCAAATCAGTCAAGTTGAAGAAAAGTTAACCTTGTTCCATAGATCAAATATACTTTTCAAGTCCCAATTACCATTTTTTTGTTAACGTTAGGCCTTTGCTCCTTTAGCTGTAAACACTGTATACAGATTCACCCCTTCTCCACCCCTAAAGACTCCCTCTTCCTCCTCCAAGGAACCAAAGAGGACGTTGTAGTTAACCGCATCAAAGGAAGGCCGACAGGTCTTACGTTACGTTTTAACATGCCTTTGAAGTTGCCGACAATCAACAAAAAAGGTCCACAAGAAGCAAGCAAGAAACAACTACACAGTTTACAGCGAAAGGAGAAACAGCCAAAAGATAGAAACAGAAGTAAAGATTTTTTCTTTTCATGTCTTCTTCTTATTCTTTTTTCTTTTACTTTTTCTTCTTCTCATCTTATGTTTGTCTCTGTGTTTTTCCCCCTTTGAGAATAAATTTCTCACTCACTGTCTCTCTTCATTTTTGTCATCATCATCTCTCATCGTCGTAATCTTCTCATTCACTGTGTAATCTTTTAATTGTCCTGGTCAATTCCAGGTCAATTTACTGTTTCCCTTTGGTCTGTTTTAAGCACTAATTTTGCTTCTTCAAAGGTTATATCGTCTGCTTGCCTTCATAATCATTTCAACCTGTTCTCAACTCAATCTGTTTTATTTCACTGTTAACATTTATTCACTTGTTGATTGTGAGTTTGCCTCTGTGTATGCGTACCTTGACAAATTTTTATCCTAATGTCTTCACTTTTCGTGATTTATTTGTATCCATCATCGTTCACAACATCAACAAATTTCATCCTTTACCTTTTCAATCATCTGTGAATTTGTGATTGATCCTTTTCTCCCTCTTTTTACCCTTTTTTTGTTTACAAATTTTCTCTTTTTTCCCCAATTATTCAAAATGTTGTTTAAGTTAATATCTTTATCTTATTCTCTGCACAACTCAATTACGATTAAACTCTGTATACCCTGTTTATTATGTTTATTCAGTTTAGTTTGTAACATTTATTCTATGCGAATATCACACATCTCCAGTCAACATCAAAGTCTCGGAAAATTGTCCCAAGTTATTCGTACCAATCAATATCGACCTTCTTGGTCTCTTTCAACCTCACCATCACCTTTTTTAAACATGTCATCCTCATCATCCTCATCTAAATTAACTCCTCTTGGTTCATCATCATATTCATCATTCTCATTTAAACCATCAACATCTTCAGTGTTTTCCTCTTTCCTGTCATCTTCATCATCAACCTCCAATGATCACCAAAGTGATACCGATAATCTTTTCTTTATTAAAAATACTCCAAATTTTTCTTCACCTCCACCTCCATTGAAAGATTCAACCATTCATACCAGTAATCATCGTCATCACAATCACCATCATTCATCTCAATCATCAACACACCAACGAGGTCAACAATTTTTGCATGAATCTCCACCTTTGAAAAGGTTTATGTTGAAAAACAGAAATGTTACCTGCAATGATGGAACCAAAGCTGGTTACTATTACCGTTCGTCTATTGGCTATTCTAGACGTTGGATCGTCTTTCTTGAAGGTGGTTGGTATTGCTTCTCACCTTCAACCTGCCATCAACGTTGGCTTGGAATGAGAAATTTAATGACATCTGCTCATTGGCCACAATCACGATCGGTTGGAGGCATTTTATCACCCAATCCTCAAGAAAACCCATATTTTTGGAATGCTAATCATGTATTTATTCCATATTGCTCATCCGACTCTTGGTCCGGTGATTCACCTGCAGCCACATCGGCCGACCTTTCCTTCCTCGGATCACGTATTATTACTGAGGTAATAAATGAGCTATTACTTTCCAAAGGTTTATCAGATGGAAAATCCCTTCTTTTGGCGGGAAGTTCTGCCGGTGCTGGAGGTGTTCTTGTTAATCTTGATCGTGTTGCTGATTTTATCTCCTCAACAGGATCTAAAATTGAGGTGCGGGGTCTAATGGACTCTGGTTGGTTTCTTGATAATCAACCTTTTGACTATTCTGGTTCCTATTCTAACAGTAATGATAATATCGAGGATAACTTTGATGAAGAGAAAGATGATTCTTTCAATGAAGACAAATTTGATCAAAAATCCTTCACATCTTATGGCTCATTATCACCTCCATCTTCACCTACCTCTCTCAGTTCATCATCTTCATCTCCATCTTCCCCATCAACTTGTACCAGTGCAATAAATTGTTCACCTATTGATTCAATTAAACAAGGTATGAAATTATGGAATGGTAAAGTTCCTGAAAGTTGTCGATTGAAATATCCAAAGGAACCCTGGCGATGTTATTTCGGTTATCGATTGTATCCTACCTTAAAGACACCTCTCTTCGTCTTCCAATGGATCTTCGATGAAGCTCAAATGATTGCAGATAATGTCGGTGCACCAGTGACCAAGGCTCAATGGAACTACATTTACCAAATGGGACAAGAATTGAGGAACACATTGTCCAATGTATCGTAAGTGTCCTCCCATGACTTGATTGTTGAAATTTTCAAACATAGTTTTTCAATGATAGACTGTCAATTTTAGATTGATTTAGTTTACTAGCGAAAGAAAAGTGACTTGAATTGACCCCTAACTAACAATTGGATCAATTTTTTGACACTTTCAATAAAAATAGTGTCAACTTGTTAACTCTGGTTGTCGAGTTAAACTGAAATGCTTAGTCTTTTTTCCTCCCTTGAGGGAAATTATCTGTTAATCTCTTAAGCTTCAGTTTGCAGGTTTAACATGTTTCTTTTACCATCAATAAACTCATTTAACAGGATAATTGTTCACAATAACTATGAACCAAAACAAAACAAATATTATTTTATCAAGACAGTTTGAATTCATTTTCAAACTAACAAGCTCTCTGGTTCAACTCAATTAACAGTTTTCTCCATATTGTGAACACATGGTTCCAACGTAACAAAGAAAGGCTTGAAACTAAATTTTAAAGCTTTATTACATTTTATTGGACATGATTGTGTACTGAATAAGAGCATGAAATTATTTTCCCAAGAAGAGATAAAACAGAAACCAAGTGTTTGATCAACTAATAACCATAATAATTTGAAAAAAACTAACATTCTCAAGTGTCCACTGGTAGCGTAATTAAATTATCGTTGATTTGCCTGGTTGAAAGCATAGTTGAAGAGAGACGCGAATCACTTTAGTTTCTAGAGCGTGACAGTTTCTAAAATTACAGCGAAAAGTTTGGCCAAGATGCTTGAATACAAGACATAGACTCAACAAGGAATCTTATTTTATTACAATCTCTATTTACTTATGGTATTTCAACAGTCAATCTTTTTCTTTCTGTAATTTCTACTTTTAGATTTGACTGGTTTCTCTGAGCATCGCTAAAATTGGTAACAGAGAGCTTGTTTCTTCTTGTTGTTCCTTGTGTGCTATCAACTTTCATCGCTAGGCCAACCTCAATTACCTTTTCTTGGCTTCTAACCAATACATTTATTTAATTCTGTCCAATTTGTTTCAACCTTTTACTGATGATTTTCAGCCATGAAACAATTGAATAAAAAATAGCGAAATGAAAATATCCACCGAAACAACCACCCTAATAACACATCAATTTTCAAATCATCTCCAGTCAAAAGTAATGATATTGCGTGTCTACAGATTTTGATGATAATGATGATGATTACTTTTCAAAGATACCTTTAAATTTTGAACGGACTTTGCAACCTTTTATTAACTCTTTCATTCGTTTCAATTTAGAGTGAAACAATTACCATTTCACTGGTAAATTGCTTTCACTTTTTTTGCAGTCAATTTGAAATCTTAATTCAATTTAGTCTTCATCTAATTCAATTTCAACATTCATTTTTAAAGCTATTTATCATGCAATTTTTTTTCTATGAATATTAATTCATCCTTTTCTTTTCTCTTTTCAGTGCATATTTTGCGCCTTCATGTATATCTCACATTGTTTTAACCAAACCAAACTGGAATAGCATTAAAATTAATGGAACCAGTCTTCCTCAAGCTATACGTTGTTGGGAATTACATTCCGCATCCAATGGATCACCTTATCGACGTGATGTTATCAGTCGATCTCATACTAACCAATACTCATCTCGGTCTTTAGTGTCAACATCATTTGTTGCTGATGAATCTCGTCCCAATAATGGGCCTATTAACAAAACACCATTTTCACCTGCTCAAGCATCTCTTCCAATATCATCTGTAAATATTCATAGTAAACAACATTATACTCAAGAACAACAATCTCAAAATGTAAAACGATCATCATCGGTAATTGTACCTCAGCTTTTAACCAAAACGCCATATCAAAGTTTAACCAATTTTCCTGATAACAGTAATAATATTAACAAGACTGTTGAAAACTATAATTACGATTCGTATGGAAACCGAGTAATCAAGAAAAAGTCTAAACGTCGCCACAAGAAGCACAAGAAACGTCAACAGTTAGAAATGGTTCGAAGTAAACGACTTGCTGCTAGACAAGAGCTTATCCGTCTCGGTTATCAACGCCCTCAGCGGTTGGGTAAAAACACTAATTGTCGATACAACCTTATGGATGTCTGTTCTTGGCCTCAATGTAACTCGGGCTGTCCAAAGCTTCACAATCCATTTACAGGTATGTTGAGCTTAATATTGGAATTTTTGGTTACAATTTAAAACGAAATGATTACATTTTTATCTTTACATTTTATCCTTTTTTTAGGTGAAGAAGTCAATTTCTTGGAACTTCTCAAGTCTTATGGTTTCAATTTAATGGCAGTTGCTCAAGCCTTAGGAATGGAAACTAAAACTTTGAATGAAATGGAGGATGGCGCTTTATTTCAATTATTTCATAAAAAGGTGTCTTAAATTTTTCCAGTCCATATTAGAATTGATTGTCCACTAATTATTGTTGATTTCTATGATTTATTGATCATTATCCTAACTCGAGTGACTCTCGAAAAAATTGCTGCATAAATAATAAAGCAAGTTACAAACTCTGAAATTAAAATTCAGTAATAATTATTTTAATTTTGTAACCAATCTCAACTGTAAATATTGTAGATGAAATAAATGAAAGACAAATTTATTAACTAATCATATTTTGTCTCATCATTACCGGAAAGCTTTCCTTAACCCATTGAAACCTGCAAGATAATGATGGAAACTGCTGTTCAGTATAATTAATCGGAAATTTAAATTACAGAGAAGCCAATTTTTGGACTAATCAATGGTCTTTGTAAGACAAAAGATTGAATTGAATGTTAGCTGGTGATGAGGAAAAGATAATTAAAAGTCTTAGCAAGATGATGATCAGTTGGAAAAGACTGAAAGCAAATTAGATGAGAATGTTCAAGACTAATCAATGGATGAGGAAAAAGTAGGACAATTTGGTTCCTAGTAAGGAAAGGAGGAGATTGAAGGATCAACTGACGCCATGTAAACCCACTCAACCTCCCCCTCTGGAAACATCACCTTTAACACCGGCTAAGAAGACAAAATAAGCCAAATATAATGGGCTTTTGTCGTTAAAAGCAAAGAGACAAACAAACAAATAGTGACCCTGGTCAATGTTTTGTGTATTTAACTGACCTTTTATTATTTATTTTTGGTCCACACAGGTTACTGTGAGTGTCAATTGTAGACTCCATTAACACTTTTTTCCCTTTAAGATAATAACAATCATTCAACCTCCTTTCATCGTCTTTTCACTTTGTCTTCTTTTTTTTCTTCTTCCTTCCGTCAAAAGATGGTTGTAGTCAAAAAGCTCTTTCAACCTACCCTTTGACCCTTTGTTCAAACAATCTTGGACCATTTGCAGCATCTTTTGTTTCTTTACCATTTATTAGCACTTACACATTTCCTCTCACCATTTTGTCAATATCACTTGCTTTCAAGCAAACAACTTTCAAGCAAACTTCATTGTTGCTAAAATCATTATGATATCAGTATTCATGTATTGTCTAATATATTTTACAATTTACAAGTTCAAAAGACGTCCGATTGATGAACAATCATTGAAGTGTAAGTTAACGCACCAAATGTAATAATGAGGCAGTTTGAATGATAACATAGCCGTCAAAATTGAGAATAACCAGCTTTATTTATTGATATAAATCGCTTCCATAATGTATTTAAATTGAAGGAAAAAAGTGAAATGATTTAATCAATTCGAGAAGCAAGGAGTGACCCTTCAGATGGTCGATCAAAGGTAACACAATTGAATCCAGAAATATCACACTCTAAGGTTTCTTGGATTGTTATTACATACAGTTTTTTGTTGATTGAGTCCACATCAATGTTGATATTGTACCAGTTTTCAAGTGGAGCATCAAAAGGAGACCATTCATGTCCAGTTCCGTCGAGATTGGTTCGGTGAAGTCTCACCCTTGATTGAGCAGCTTGAAGTTTAGCTGATGGCACAGAATCCGATACTACTGGATCTGGATCGGGACAGATTTCAATCCAGAATATTCTCGGTTCAGTTCTATCAATGGTAGCTCCTTTAATTTGACACACTGTGCGAGTAACCAGGAAACATTTATCCAATTTAGGATAGTAACCTATCATTAATTGTTCATCCGTTGGCTTAGTGAAAGATCTCATTGCCATTGGTTGGGAACTCAGGCGTCGGTTGAATAACAAAAGAGGACCAGCAATCTGTGGTACACAAATGGATCCACCGCGAGTTTTTAATCCTGTAGCTGAGCAATCTTCTCGTACTGTATTGTCCATCAAGCTTTGAATATCTTCACAGCCATTTGCTTTTACAAGATCGCTGGACCAGCTAACGATTAACATCAATTTAAACACTACTGGAACTATTGACAATAGCATTTTGACTCTAATGTGGCACAGTGAGTAGCTTGAAACAAAATGCTTCAGTGTAAGACTAGTGAATGAATTTAAGATTGATTTTCTATCAATTTACCGATTTCAGTCTCATGTTTATTGGTGATTAAACCGCTTTAATCATCAAATGAAATTGGCATTTGTAAGAAAAAGGAAAGTTACCAATTTATTGGAAATTTACTGCCAAACTTAGGCTTGTAAAATTTTTAGCTTTCATTTGTTGAAACAATGGTTAGGTTCAAATCAATTGAAGCTATTAACGTTTGAATCAAAATTTTTGATCTTTTATTTGGATGAATTTCAAATGAGGGTTGATTTCATATTTAAAATGGTGATTGTAATTTACATAATGATTGAGATTTTTGTCCGATCTTATTGCTTGATCTGATCTTAAAATTTTGTTTGCTTTCGCACTCTCATTATTTCTCAGCTTTCAGATTGCTTATTTTTCATTATCATTTTCATTTACAAACCAACCGCGGACTCCTCTGCCTCCAGCACGAACAATGTCCCAAAACTCTGTGAAGCTATTTCGGAAATTGTTCCATCGATTGCGACCATAAGTGGAAACAGCGTCTCTGAAAGTTGGATCTTCATCTTCCTCTGACTGTCGACTCGTGTAACCATTTCGACTGATTGGTGCCATTTGACCAGGCAAATCGGCAAGGTTAAATGACCACACTATTGGCTCAGATCTCTCCATGGGTGCTCCTATCATTGTTGTAAATCAATCAGATCATCATTTACTGAACTAACAAATTGTAAGCTACAAATCTCAAAGGCTTTCAAAGTCCTATTACATTGCGAAGAGTCTGAGGTAAAACTGTTGAACCACTGAATGCAGGACAAACTCAACTGAACAAGACCAAACAACTGACCTTATGTCACATTTTTATTACCAGAGCTTCAACGGTTTTACCTTCAATGCTCCTTATCAACAAATATCTAATCACTTTTAATTTATTCCTAATTATGAATTACAATAATTGCTATTTCCATTTCCAAACTTACCTAAAGAGGATACAGCACAGCTGATGAATATGGCGATGGTAAAAATTCCCAAAACAATTAACTTCATGGTTGATGATGGTTACACAGTAATGATGCTTTATTCCAGCACAATTAACACTGTAAGTTAAATAAAAAACTCGGCGGTAAAATCAATTAATCCAATAATTGCAATAAAAAAAATAAATGATCATCCAACAACAGCAACGATGATACTTCAACTCTTGATTTTTAAATGTCAAACCATTAATACACAATTTTTTCTCATACTTTACAGTAACTCAATTGAATATGCTTGAATGTTGGACCATCCAATTGTTAGAGTTGGTTAAATTTGAAATGAAAGTCGTCGTGAAAATGGTACAAACAAGAAACAAACTGGAAAAAGTTGGTGAACAAAAGTAGCAGCAATCAAGTCAAGTGATTTATTGAAACTAACAATACCGTTGATCCTGATTGTCTCACTCGCAATTTAATTTTTACAATTATCCAAGTTTACTCTCACATTTGAACGGAACAAAATTTTTCATCTCAATAATTCATCAGCAGTATCACAATAATGATAATAATCAACCAGTTAATTTACACCATCAACGGCACGATTTGCATTTTTTTAGGATCAATCAAAAGTGTAGTCATCCAGTTGGAAAAAGACAATGAGAATGAAGATGTTGATGAAGAGGACAAGAAGACAAGGTTTCATTTTCTTAAGGAAAGTCATCTCAAAAATTTACCTGAAAACTGTACCATTTTGCTTTTGCTATTATTACTCCAACCCTTTATTGATTGTGATTATCGTTATTATTTAACAAATTATTACCAATTTGTCTTCTTTTTTTAACATAACTCGCTGCTTCAACGATTCACCCATCAGTATCATTTAAATTGTTTTCATCTTCACCTCATTCACATTCACATCTTCAACCTGAAACATCATAATTATGTTAACCCATGTTAATCATTGCTAAAAGCCAACCTTTCAAGCCAATTGGACTTTCAAGATAATTGGATCAATCTAAAGTCATTAAATTGACGCGGATAAAATTTGAATCAATCTCAACGATTAAGCATTTATTCATAAACATTTAAATCAACTTAAATCTATTTCTTGATTCTTCCTTTAGGCGTCAACTGATTGTCATTGATTAGCTTGGCTTGTTTAACCAAACTGACTGTTATTTGCCTTTTACATCTCCTGGTAATTCCCTTTGGTAATCAACTTTGGTTAAATATAAGCTTTAATTGGTTTGATTTACATAATGATACAAACTGAATTTAATATTAATTTTTGTCACTCTTCTTGTTTAGCCTCACGATGGTTACCATTCAGATTCTGGTTCCTGATACGTTTATTATTGGGAATACAAGCAATTGTGATCACTTGGATCGAGCCGGGAAAGTAATATTGCCATTAAATTGTTTCTCCTGTTAAATGATAAATTTCAATTTGTTTTTCCCTTTTACGTTGCTTTTCAATTGCATTTATGCTTCACTGATCAACTTTCATGAATCTTGTTTGATACCGATTAGCTATTAATGTTGATTGGCTTGAAATTTATTAGCAAACTCAAGATTGACAGAGTTTAAATTGGATAGCTTAATTTTTGCTTCTCAATTGATTGTTGTGAACAGAAAAGGAAAGCTGAATAGCTAATAGATTAATTAAGATTTAGTTGTTGTCACGAGTAACATTAATTGATGAAATAGTGAATTGAAAACAATCAATCATCTATTGATTTGACAATAGTGAAATAATTGATGAGAAAACTAAATGATGCTTTTAACAATTTAGTGCGGAAATTTGAAACATTTTTGTTTGCTCAATAAATTCAATTCTGATCGATTCAATCTATTATTATCAATCTGATCCTTTGCCAATCAATGATTAACCTTTAGCACTTCATTAACCATTGTTTTGCTTTTTAGACTGTTTTACCAGGAATCTAATCTTCAACCAGTTGATAAAGTTCAATTCCAAGCCAGAGAGTAAACTTTGCTGTGAAATTATTCGTGTTCAAACTCGACACCAAAGATCTGAAAACTGATGTCAAAAGGTTCAAATATTGAGTCGAGATAAGCGAGTGTGAAGTCGGATTCAACTTGAAATTAAAGATGTTTTAATTGTTCTTCTGGTAACTCCCTTGCCTATTGCTCATTTAATTTAGTTTACTCATTTTGATTGAATTTAAATTCTCTTGATTAACTGATTATCTGGTTTTCCTTTCCAATGAACTATGGACATAAATTAACCCTAGTTTTTCCTTCAAAGTTTATTTAAATTCAAGTGCACTCATTATCTTCCCCTTCATCACTTCATCATCCAAAGTATTTCACTGAAAATTCATTGCCACAGGAAAAGAAAGATGAAAATGTAGAAGATGAGGAAGAAAAGAAATCAATTTCTCTTGTTTTTCACCCAAAAACACACAATCTATGCTAATACAGAAAAAACAGTATTCACGAAGTTCCATGTCTGGATTGAAGTACAATTGACTTTGGTAAACATTCATAAATAACCTTTTTAACTTGACTAACTTTTTTGAACAACCAAGATCATCCAATGTTGAGATACTCATGAAGCACTTGTAAATGAAATGAAATTGAAATACATATTCTTATTAACTTGAAATGCATTAAGAATATTGAACAAAAAACTTGAAACAATTTCAGAGAAGAGCTGAACTTAGATAATATGGGCAGCTATTCAAGATGTAATCATGTGTTAGACAATGAAACAAGATCATTGAGAATATGAGTTTCTCATGTATTTCCATATCTTTTATTGGTTATGTAATCTGGTTCATGCAGAGATATGCTTTGATATGCATTTTGAAAAGCTTTTGTGATTATCAAAGTCCAAACATCTGAGATTATCTTACAATGTAATAGTTTTTTGGATCAACAAACTGGTTTGGATTGCGTTTATTTTCAGTACTAATCAAGTTCTTGTTTCATTGAATCTTTGATAATATTTACATGTATACAAAGTGATTCAAGCTGAAAATTACATACAATGTTCATGGAAGATTGGAAAGAGATTTCAAGGATTTTAATGATGACTTGAAGATAATTAAAGGACATATCAATGAATAGGATTTGCGTGAATATTTTGAAGGCTAAATGAATCGAGAAACCGTTTATACTGAAAGTTTTATGCGATTAGAGGCATTTAGCTACAGTTGAATTGATCTTTGACTTTGTTTACCTGTAAAATAGGGAAAAATATTCTTGCAAGGTTTGCCTTAATCATTATCAATCACTAGTTAAAATCATTTTTTCATTGTCAGTGTAATTATGTTGCCTAAAATTAGGTAACAGTCCCTTAGGTTATTTTTTAACCCAGTAACATGTGATCCAAACCAACGAGCATTTTTCACTTTCTAAACTCTGGTTTTCTTTCAACTTTCCAATTCAGTAGATGATTATTTTCATATTATAGTGTTTCTTTCCTCATGTCAAAACTTAAAATGTGAAATAAATTGATTGAGATGAATCAGTGGACAAATGGGTTACTACGCGTCTTTACATAACTCAAATTTTCCTCTAATTTTCAGCTGTTTGTTGTTCACTAATATTAAGTTATCGCTGGTGAATTGATCATCTGATATTACAGGTTTGTTGTAAACGTAAATATTTTCAATTTGTATTGCTCCTGAATCAGTTTATGTGTTAAATCACTGGACAAACGACACGGTTTTTGTGTTGCTTTCAAATCATTTTTTGCTTTGTTGTCTACTTTATTTTGATGTGATTTGTTTCTTTTCTACATTTATAGAGATCACTCTGTATCAATCTGGTTGACAACTAGATCTATTAAGTTCAATTGTTATCTTGGAGCTGAACAGCAACAGGAATGGAAAACAACACTTTAGCTTGAAACTGCTTTCTCTACTTTCTTCATTATCTGCTTGCTCTTCAATATTTTTATCAGCTTTCTGTCTCCTCCAGTTATGCTCAACTTGTGAACCATTTGGATTGTAACGTCATTATAAACAACATAGGTTACTTTGTGCTGTTTTTTATCAACCGAAATGGCTAAAAATATTTGTGTTATTGGAAGTGGTGCATCTGGTTTAACTGCAATTAAGACTTGCTTGGAAGAAGGTTTCGATGTAACTTGTTATGAGCAATCAAATTTTATTGGCGGCCTGTGGAAATATCGGGACCAGGATGAAGATGGATTGGCCTCAGTGGCTCGAACTACAATCATTAATTCATCTAAAGAAATGTCTGCCTACTCTGATTTTCCCCCTCCACCTGAATTTGCCAATTACATGCACAACACAGCTATGGTAAGTAATTTAGTTCAACAATCTGACCCAATATGTTTGTCGACTTCTTGTCAATTTACATTATTAATGGCTACAACTTGAATCAATACCTTGAAAAGGATACAAATAAATTATTGATACATGTAATTGGAAATGAGACAAATGGATAAATTGACTGATTTTTCCCGCTTTTTCTCACCAGCACGCATACTTTGAATTATATGCTGATCATTTCAAACTCAAACCACACGTGCAATTCAGACACAAAGTGATTCAAGTGACCAAAGCAGATGACTTTGAAAAAACTGGCCGTTGGAAAGTTACTGCTCTTGATTTAGATACAAACAACGAAGTGATATCAACATTTGATGGTGTAATGGTCTGTACTGGTCACCATGTTAAACCATTGATTCCAAAATTCAAAGGACAAGAAAAATTTAAAGGTAAATAAGCAAACAACAATTTTCGTTAAATTTACCATTTTTTATCATCTAATTTTCAGGTAAAATTGTACATACTCACTCGTATAAAAAGCCACAGCCTTTCGAAAATGAACGGGTTGTAGTTGTTGGTATTGGTAACTCAGGAGGTGATGCCGCTGTTGAATTGTCCATGTTTGCCAAAAAGGTGAGAAAATAAAGAAAATAGAGAAAATGGTTAATTCGGTGATTTGGTGAAAGAAAAAGAAAGTCTGAAACCAATAATCGATTAATTTGATTTTTATTTCTCTTTTTCTCTCGACCCTTTGATTACTACTCTGAAAAATCATTCAAAAGTGACCTTCATTATCTTATATACGCAATGAATTGTAATACTTTGACAATACCATCGGTCATTAGTTATGGATGATAAAACCACTGATCAGCTTCATTTAAAATCAATTTTTAAAAACCCAAGAATTCAGGTTAACCTCAATTAACACTTGATCAACTCATTTAGGTCATGTTAGAAGTGTAAAACAATTAGATTGACACTACTCACGACAAGAAACAACTAGTGTAATAGTAGTGCGTCGAGCTTTCATCTAATTACCTGTTACATCTTAACTTTCTTTCCTGGTTGATGTTTTACACCAAATATACCAAATATTTTATTAAAAATAATGCATCAGAAATCACAACTTATAATTATCAGGCCAAGTGGACTATGAATGAAGGTCATTGTGATAAGATAATGGATGGAGATGGAACATTATCGAATTTTCCCGAAAATTTTACATTTCTCATAATTTTGTGCCTAATTTCATTTGAATTGAAGGTTATGGTGCTTCAGCTTATGCATCACTAATCAATTATCTTTATCGGATTTTCTCAATTTTATTGAATTGATAATGCTAATTATTTTTTTAATTCTGTCAGGTTTATTTGGCCATACGAAGAGGATCATGGATTTTATGGAGAGTCGGGACGCAAGGACAACCAATGGACTCTGAACTAATCCGTCGTTTTTACGCTCAAGTAGTCAATATCGTTGGATTCAGAGTAGCATCTAAAATTCTTCAGTTTTTTGCTAATCTTCGATTTGATCACAAAGCTTATCGTATTCAACCAAGTCATGATGCTTTTTGTCAACATCCCACTGTCAATGATACTTTGGCTAATCGTGTAATATCTGGTACTGTTGTGCTTAAAAATAATATAAAAGAGTTTACAGAAACTGGAGTTATATTCGAAGAGACTGAAGACGAAATTGAAATTGATTCTGTCATTTTGGCCACTGGTTATGAGATATCTTTCCCATTCCTGGATAAATCATTGCTTTGGTCATCTAATGAAAAGATTGAACTTTACAAAACAGTTTTCCCACCTAAAACCTCTCATCCACACACATTGGCCATCATTGGTTTAATACAACCATTTGGACCTTTGGTACCAATCAGTGAAATGCAATGTCGCTGGTTTACACAGTTGATGTCAGGTAAGTCTTGAAAATTCATTGTAAAACAAATGTAATATTGTAGGAATTAGGTTTAAATTAACAAAAAAGTTCCAATTTCTGTAAATTTTTAGGTTTCGCCATCTCAAGCATATTTAGTTTGTTGAGAGCAGAAAAAAACAATGTAGTAGAAAACGGAACAAAATGAAGTCCGATCTTATCGGTACTTCTATTCGTAGTAAGACGCCGATTAGGTAAAAAATCTCCGCTTTTGTTAACTTAATGTTAACATTGGCGATAAGACTGCTAACTCTTTATGTTGTAATCTGCATCTTGGTTAGCGTCTAAGTCTCGCCAAGTTCCGAGGTTAGGATGATATACAACATTGCTCATCCAGGGTTAACCATCCTCTGAAATTATTATTAATAACAATTTTATTATCTAATTTTGGCAGGAAAGCGTAAGTTACCTTCATTGAAAGTGATGATGGAAGATGTTATGAAGAAACGAGCTGAACACGATTCCCGTTTTTATTCAAGTCCACGTCACCAAATTCAAGTGGACTTTGATAGAATTATGGATGAATTAGGTGAACAATTCGGAGCAAAGCCCAATTTAACAAAATTGTTCTTCTCTGACCCAGTTCTTTGGTATCATGTCTACTTCGGACCTTTACTACCTTATCATTACCGTATTAATGGACCTCATGCATGGTCAGGAGCAAGGAAAGCAATTATGACAGTGGATGAACGTATTCAAGCTCCTTTACAGACACGAAAATTGATTAATGTATCAACTAAATCAAATGACAATTTGGGAATGGCTAGCTTTATTATACCTATTTTTGCTATATTAATCTGTCTAATCAAGTTCTGGTTTCCATAATTCACAATCAAAATATAGCATTTGATTTTATGTTAATTGTTGTTCTTTGTTATTATTTGGAGAGATTCTTTTATTGAAAATGTTTATACCATTCTTTCAATTCAATTCAATTCAATTCAATTTAATTATTATTTTTATTATTATTAATATTAATATTACAAGAATTCCGAATCAAGAGCTGCAATTTAAAATTTTACTTTACTATTAGCTGAAAATCTATTATATAAGAGCGCTTTAAGTTCGAGTGAATTTGAAATCATTATTTTGCTTAAATCTAAAATTTCGAGAGAGATTGAGGGAATCATGAAAACGATTTGACTTTGACTATTCACTTTACACGATATTCTGCAACCTTTATGAAAGTTATCTGCGGGTCTGCGAAACTTAATTTTCAGTTAGAGTTCTAATTCATCGACAAAGACATCTCTTTAGATTAGACAATCGATTTAATTCACTAAAAAACAGATCGAGAAATAAAGTGATTAAAGTTTAGAGATTAATTTCAAGCTCTTTCATTGGGCTTGTACAAATAAGTATGTGGTTTTCAATAATCAATAGGAATCAATAAATGTGGAAGGCGAAGAAAATCTTTTAGAAAACAATGTTTCATGAAATCAAAGCCTCGACTAATTCTTTCAAATTTAGTGGACAACTGAGGCCAATCTGATTGGATTTGAGTGTTATCCTTGAAGTAAAACTTGATTGATCTTCCATATCTTTTACAATGACTTTGGACATAATCAGCAGCTCTTTGAGTGACTCCATAACAATAACGAACATCCAATAGCAGTAAATTGGGTAAAATATGAACCAATTGCTCGATATGTTCATCTGTTATTTGCCAAAGGTTCCTTAACGCAAGATGCTTGAGATTGGGATATTTCTTTAACAATCTTTCAAAATCATTCCAACTGTTCTCGCAATCATTATACTGTAAGTATAAAATTAGTTTACATTGATTAAATTTTGAACCTTCCATGTTGTAACCTGTATGTAAATATTCCAACGATATTTTCCAAAAAGCAATTAAATTTAAAATCGAATTGATACTTACAGTACTTATAACTAAATCTTGTAAATATTGGAGTTTTATTGTTTCATCAACAAAAAAGCGATCATTCACGTCAATATGTGCACTTTGTAAATTTGGACATGAATCCATGACCTGGAAACTATGAACTATAAACAAGCCACCACAACTTCGTAAGCCCAGTTCAATTATTTTAAGCTTTTCCAATACTGGACCATCGTAGTATTGGGATTCACTTATGATTTTTAATCTTTCAAGATTTGGGAAATAATGTGCGTATTTTTGGAAACTAGCTAAATCATACACACCGCACAATTGTTTTATACTGGAACCAATATGTTGCATGCTTGGCTCGAATAAATCGAAGGATGTCATTTCGGGTTTATCAGGATGTTTGAATGGTGACCAAGCAATTAATCCTTCCAAAGATTCTTGATTTCTGACTAATGCAGCAATATCTTTGTATTCTACTTTTTTATAAAGTCCATCAGAAATTTTAGCAAACTAAATTGAAAACAAAAATAGAGTAAAAAATGAATACAAAATTATCAATCGAAATGAAATTGAATCAATTATATCAACCTACTTTTAAATTTGAAAATAATGTGCTTAAACAAGTTCCATCAATCGGCTCCTCTCCTTCATGATAAACACAATGATCCATCTGCAGATTTTCTTCTAAAATATAAATTGATTCAAACAGGGAACCGTTAACAGTGAGAATAACTATTAATGAAAATCTGGAACTTACCAGTAAAATATTTAACTCTTTTGGTTCGCTTAAGAATTAAATGACTCCATTTGATACACACTGCAATAAAAATGTTATGGAATTACTAAAATTTCAGTTGATTTACTCAATTATTAACCAATTTGCTTCATATTTCATACAATCCAATGCAATGTTGTGCAAAGTATTTAAATAATACGACTCAAGAGTCAGATAATGGACTGATGTAATGACCACACTGTGATCAATGGACATCACAGGATAAAAACAGGTGTTTTATTCAGATGAAACTTTTATTATAATGATCAAAGCTTTCTACACTAACTTCAGCTGGCACAACAAATAGTCGACCAGGTTGACTTAAAAAATTATCGCTGAAACGATAGGTAAGGAAAATTTCAATGGAATAAATGATTGTTATGATAAAGAAAAAACATGATTGATAATTACCTTTATAGCAGTTTATTAAATCTCCCAAGTAATTCAAATAATCAAAAATGGTGAGCAAACAATCATCTGGAAGTTCATTAATCAACATTGTAAATTAAACTTATGGCAGTACAGTTTTTTTCGTATATCGTATGATATTAGTTTCAAAGGTTTGAATGGATAACTAATTTCAGTTCACATAGATGTCAGCAGTCAGCTTTAGATACATTTGTGTTTCCAGTCCATTTCATATTCTATTTTAGAATATTCGGTAAGGTCCTAGGATTGGTAACACTGGCGTGGCTTCACAAGACTTTTAAATTTTTATCCAATGGAATTAACTCTGAGTTTCTTGGTGAGTTGAAGTTTTATTGACACTCTTAAATTCATTAATATTTAATAATAGTTGATTATGCTAGTTAGATCGATATGAAAATAGTTAGATCGGCGAAGAAATTAGAGTCAACCATGCTTTACTCACTTGCAAAAATAATGATTAACCCGCCAATATGCCATAGTCTTCTACCAGAAAAACCAGGATATTATAAAGTAATCAGTCATCAGTGATGACTGATTACTTTGTCACCTTCATTTCCTTAATCCTCAAGCCACTCTTACCCTTTACTTTTGTTAACCGCGTTTTCTTGTTTTATTTTTCATTTAAGACTGTCCATGAGCAACTATTATTAAATATTTATGAATTTAAGAGTGTCAATAAAACTTCAACTCACCAAGAAACTCAGAGTTAATTCCATTGGATAAAAATTTAAAAGTCTTGTGAAGCCACGCCAGTGTTACCAATCCTAGGACCTTACCGATATTTAATCTTTCAAGATTTGGGAAATAATGTGCGTTTCTACGGAAACTAGCTAAATCACACACATCGTGCAATTGTTTTATACTGGAACCAATATGTTGCATGCATAAATCGAAGGATACCATTTCGGGATGATTAAATAATGGGCTAGCATATGCACCAGTTAATCCTTCCAAAGATTCTTGATTTCTGACTAATGCAACAATATCTTTGTATTTTACTTTTTCATTAAGTCCATAAGAAATTTCAGCAAACTAAGTTGAAAACAAAAAATGAGTAAAAAATGAATACAAAATTAACAATCGAAATGAAATTGAATTAATAATCTCAACCCACTTTTAAAGTCGGAAATAGTGTGCTAAGACAGGTTCCATCTATCGGTTCCGTTCCTCGATGAAAAACACAATCACCATTCTCCGGATAACTTTCTAAAAAATATAAATTGCATTAATCAGAAAATTGATCACAATTAGAATAAGCACTAAGAATGTATTGAAACAAAATTGAATCTTACCCAACAAATATTTAACTTTTTTGGTTCGCTTAACAATTAACTGACTCCATTTGATAGACACTGCAATAAAAATGTTATTAGATTAGTAAATTTTCAGTCGAGTAATACTTGTCAGAGTCAGAAGCTAATAGTTGAATCATATAAGAGTTCATTTGGTTAATAAAGCTAAAATATCAAATATTTTACTAGATTAATTGCAAGTAAAGATTATCGTTGAAGGTAAGGAAATTTTCAATGGATTATATGGCTCTATGTTAAAGTATAAAACATGATTGATACTTACCTTTATAGCAGTTTATTAAATCATCCAAGTTATTCAAATAATCAAAAATGGTGAGTAAACAATCATCTGGAAGTTCATTAATCAACATTGTAAATAAACTTATGGCAAAACTACAGTTCTTTCGCCGATCGTATGATTTCAGTTTGAATAAATAGTTAATTTTAGTTTACATAGATGTCAGCAGTAGGTTGAGGTAATTTTCATTCTGAATTTAATTAGATTTACAATATTGTTAGTTTAGTTTTTTGTTTCTTATTCGATACAGAATCACTTGGAATCGAATGCAGTTAAATTTTTGAATTTAATTAAAATGCTCACTAGCCTGGTATAATACCACTCTCATCAAGAGATCTCATCATTTTATACAAATAACATTTAATTTTAACGTACTCTAGCTTCAAGCATAAGTTAATCTTAGATAAGCGCCGTCTACTATACTACCAATGGCCTAATCAAGCATCTTACGTACAGTAGATGGCGTTTATCAAAAATTAATTTATCCGTTAAACTTATGTTAGACTCAAAAGTGAAACAAAGTTGCATCACTTTACTCTTTGTCTTTTACCCTATGATTATAATCACCAGGCCCAAGTGAAAACTTAAGTTGAAATAATTTTTTTAAAATGTTGATCAATGAGCTTCCCGACGATTGTATGCTCGCAATTTTCGACCAATTCGATAACCTGTATCATTTAATGGCCTGTTATAAAGGTAATTATGAATCATGTTTTTTAAAATGAAAATCGTTTACAGCTTAAGTCACAAAATCGACCCTCGTCAAATGAAAATTTGTCTCAATCTTATCTATTTTGTTACTATGTTTGAAGAGGATAAGTTGAGTGACTTTTGAGTTACATCAACGCGATTGTGCATTTTTTTGACTCCTTATAATACTTTAGTTTAAGCTTAGACTTTGTATAAAACCGATTTTGAGCTCATCAGAAGGAGATTTAGAAGTACAGTAAAACCTCGCAAAGGTTGTATGAAATAGAGCAACGCCATCTCTGGAATTTAAGCTTTTTCCCCGCTTTTACAATGTAATTATGTTAATCATGCCAAAGAGTTGCACAAACAATATCGCTAGGCGGCAGGACCGCTCACAACCTTTTGCGAGGTTTTACTGTATCTTGGTCAGTTTGTGAGAAACAATAGATAAAGTGGCGAGAGTTTAAAGCGCGATATTTTTTAGATGTAAAGTCCTGTTGTGTTGCTCTGAAGGCAATTGAATAATGATTGAGCAAATCAACACTTTTATTAACTCAATAAAAATTTCATTTCAGTGTGTCTTAAATGGAGTCATTTAATTGCTCAACGAATTAAAAAAGTTAAATATTTTTTAGGTAAGAATTCAAAGTTTCATTCATTCTTATCCTTAGTGTGATCAATTTATTAATCGAAGAAATTTATATTTTCAGATTATTATGCTTATTTACCTGATTATTCACCTGATTATGTTTTTTATAGAGACAGAGATCTGATTGATTTAGCCGGTCTGAACACATTATTCCAAATTTAATAGTAAGTTGATATTGTTAATCAAATGCATTTTCATTGAATATTAATTTTTTTATTTATTTCATCCATTCAGGTTGCTGAATTTTCTGATAGATTCAGTGTGAAAGTAAAATTTGAAGATATTGTTGCATTCGTCAGAAACCATGAGTCTTTGAAAGGAATAATCACTTATTCTCTTGAAGTAATGGAACAGTGTTGTGATAAACTCGAAATGCTAGCCACCAAGTTTAGTGAGGCACGCATTCTACGAAACTGTTCCAGTATGAAACAATTGCATATAAATGATTATACTCTAGATGATTTCGAAAGAGCGGCACATTATTTACCAAATCTTGAACGACTTCAT